TCTTACTTCAGGTACATATTAAAAGTCATAATTAAAAAATTAACGTTAATAATTAAAGTATACTACTGTGCATTCATTTATATACAAAGCTAATTCAATTGTGAATTGTTTTTTTTTCTTTTATTTTTTCTTCTTAACACGTTCGCGGACAGTAAAAGTTTTAGCGAGGAAGAAAATGTGACAGTCATTTTATTTTGAAATTAGCTGTGATATCGAAAATTTCATTAAACACATTTTAATATTTTGAATATCAGAAAATTTGATTAAACACATTTTATAAGGGCAGTCAGATTATCATATATTAAAGAATCAGTTAGTCATTACCTTTACAGGTATAATAATTATAAAAACTTTGTTACATAAAATAAAATTCAAAATAAAAATTTTAAATTTGAATGCTAGAGCATTTACGTCCGCAAACGTGGTAAGATACCTCAGTTTGAATAACTTCTAGTATTCGTGATATATGTAATTATTATTATAAATTACGTGTTATACACTCATTTAAAAAAAAGCAAATTTGTTTAACTAATCAGAGGCAGTAGTAAAAGTATTTGAACTGTTGTTTGTTTTTTCCCCTATTACAATATTAATAATCTTTATAAAAGATTACGAATTTAATTATAATATGAAAGAGAGTAACACGTTTGATATTTTTATCTAAATATCAGTATACCAGTTAGTTCTAACTTAAATGGAGAGAAGAACGTTCCAATAAATTTGTGTGTTTATATGATTATTCAAAGAAAAGAAAAAGATTTTATATACTGTGTATATAGATAGAAAAGCTTGAACACACAGTTTCTAGTACATTATTTTATCTTTCTTTTTCTTTTTCTTCTTTGTTAAGTCTTCTTCTTTTGTTTTTTTTTGTTTTCTTGTTTTTTTTTTAATTATAGATATAAAACAACTCTTATATACGGTGAATATTTATCAAGTTAGCACCGAAATATGTTTTATTTGTATTTTTTTTTTTTAATTTTGATTGTCTATTTATATAAACTTTTTGTCTTAGATATAGACAGCAACATAATTGTTAGATATATTTATATTAATATATATATATATATAGGGTACCTGAGAATTTTTCAACCAAACGATGTCAGCGTATTCTATCCACGAAAATAAGAAAATAATGCTATATAAACTTAGGTCATTTGAAGCTTTGTTAAAAATTGATGACACAAATTGTAAATTATCTAATTTCTTGTTCAATCAACTGACTGTTTTACTTTGCAAATGCAAATCTGACACACCGCTGTAAGATGACACGTACCTGTTTCACGTTATTGTGAATGTACATTGATTTTTTTCTTACTTTTCGTATATAGAATACGCTGACATCGTTTGGCAGGAAAAACCTCAGACACTCTGTATGTATACTGATCACAATTGAATCATTGAATTAAGGCATAACTTGATTTTCATTCCCTTATTATATTATTTGTTCTATTAGATTATTCTTTCTTCTTCTTCTTTTTTATATTCATACTTTTTCAAGTATAGTCACGTAGTCTATCACTTTATAAAAAACATTTCAAATGTGCACAAACATCTGTCGTTTAAATATGCAAAATTCTTATTTGTTCGTTTCTTTCCTATTTCTCGCTTCGATTATAAATATTATAAATGAAATATAAACAAAGCCAATTTGCTTTATTGCTTTTATATTACGCAAGCTTAGAAAAAGGTTTCCCTTGCGACTTTGTTATATTTATAACTTTGGTTCGAATTTTAAAATCCTCTTTAGATTTTTCAAATAGATATATCATTCCTTTACTCGCATGCTAGTTTACTATCGAAACTACTCAAAGCGATAGCAAAAGCTTGAAGTGTACAAAGTGGGAACCTATAATCCATTGTAAAGACATCTTCGGCTATACGTCCAAATTGCATAACAACATAGTCCACTATAAAATAAAAGTACAATACAAATACATACAATTATCCAATACATAGAATAAAAAAATTTTAGAAGATTTATATTATATTAAACTAACCATCACTATCATGTACAACTTGAAAATTTTTAACAGATGCTTGTGTAACACGACCATGAAAATTCAACACATACGATTGCGTATCATCGTTCCATACAGGAGTTTTGTTATGTAATTCTATTAAATTGTCCATATTTTTCATTTTCCAACGTTCTGGAATAATAATAACATAAATATTTGATCAATTCGTTTTTTGAATAACTGATCAAAGAATCTTGCCTATTGTATAATAATATAATTGATTATATACCAAGTAATGTTTCCGTTTCATCGCGTGGACAAATTTCAACTCGTTTCTGGTCAGGAGTCATTCCAGGTATGATAACAGTCATTTTTCGTGGCCCTTTAAATCCTAAGACGTTAGTGTCATAAACTACTGCAGCTAATTCTTGTCGTGGATTAAAGCGTTCATCTCTCTTGCAATCTTTCATTAATGAATATCCATTATCATAAACGGTAAATTGTGTACCAAGAAGGTTGGATCTTAATTTTCCTATATAAGATTCGCCACCTCTTGAAAGATCTGTGGGATCCGTTGAAATTAAATAATTACTTGTCGTACTTTTCTTCCTCTTGCGTCCGGCCAATAAAAATACCTAAAATAATATTTATAAGTAAAACAAATTCAATAATCTATTAGATAGATTTAAAAATGTACTAACCTTTTTTCCGTAATCGCGTTCAAGATGTAAAAAATATGTTGGATATAGACCACGATCCATACCTTTCTTATCACGCGTTATGCGACATTTGTAATGCATTTTTTTATTTGCTGGTTGCAATACAAATTGTTCTACATTTCCTTCTACGTTGCCTTCTAGTTCTGGACTCTGAATTAAAGAAATGATTTGTTAATAATAGACCATACAAAAAGGTAACTTCGTTAATATAATATGCAAAGCAAACTTATTGAATGATATTCTAATAATTAATCATCAATATACATACAGTAGAATGATTGTCTCTACTGATAAGTGTACGAGTTACTTCTGATGGTGCTATTTTAAGAGGCGAAGTACATGGCAGAGATTCAGAAGGAGAATGCAATTCTATCAGAGAAGATTCTTCATCAGCGCACTCTTTAGCTTCCGTACCTTCGTAAAACGCTATTTCGGAGCTTGCTTCTAAGAAGTAAGTATCGTTGTTTCAATTAAAATTGTAAAAATAGGATATCGATATCGTACATAATTACAAATGTTACCACTAATTTCTGTTTCTATTGGTTTGTTTTCTGAAAACGTTCCAATATCTGGATTTGCTTGGGACATCGTGAAATGTAAAGGTCCATCGTATCCTAGTAAAATTGAAGTTCAATGTATACTTGTGTTCGAATGAAATCAAAATGACGTTTACAATGATTCTAAATACCAATTTTACCATGAAGTTCTTTATTAGGATTAATCCATTTCATGTTGTGACTTGTAAGTTGCGTAGTGGATATATTCGATGCCTGGACCATACCACCAGCACCACTTTGTCTTTTCTGTTTCATTTTTTGTGCAATTAATAATCTCTAGAATAAAATATTTTATTTATTAATCATCATTATGTTATCGAAATACATATATATACATAATGTATATGTATATATGCATACATTAAATTATTTGAAATGTTATTAAGTCACACCTGTTGTTCAAGCTTCTGTTGTCTTAAATCAAGTGATGTCATTTTATTGCTTATCAAAGTTATTAATTGTCATAAACAAATGACTTTTTATTCTCTCGAACACAATGAAACTTCTCTAAATGAGGTTTGTTTACGTTAAAACATATTACACGTCTTGACGGTACCTAGGCAACCAACCCGTATAATTCTACTTATGATTTGTCTTTAAGATTGAAAACACTAACGAGTTATTTCATTCTTTGTGATTGGTCGTTCCACGAAACCTAAATATAATGAGAACGAACGCGATACGCGTTCTTGTCGAATTTGTGTCGTTGAAAATGAGGAAACATCGGGTATGATAATTCTCCATGAGGGCGGCGGTAGTGTTCGGGAGTTCAGATTTTAGTATATGTGTGTGTTATTTTTTATGTGTTATGTGTGTGTGTGGTACAAAACATATTTGAAAAATTAGACCCGTCGAACCGACGCACTGTCTAGTGGCAATAGAAATCATCCTTTCATGCTGCAAATACGTAGACACATTTATAACACTGCGTTCGTTCTCCTTCTATCTAGGCTTCGTGGGTCATTCACTAACTGGAAAAAAACACTTTCCTAACCTAATAATATATAATCAATATAATTAGAATCTATATATAGATATATATAGATATATATATATAAATATTTATATACATATGTGATTTAATAATAATAATGAATACTTTGTTCACTTCAATATTGACTAGAATTATCAGAAGGGTTAGTTTTCACTGTTACTTGACCGGTAAAGTTCAATATTTATCAATTCGAGTCAATGAATATCTTTGATTGGCTGAATAAATTTATAAACAAACATGGCGACTTTTAATCCACGTGTAGAAGAATTAATAAACTATTTTAAATCACATAACAAAATTAGAGAACAACAAAGTCATTCAGCTAAAGTACACAGTGTTGGTTGGAGTTGCGATGGAAAATTATTAGCTTCGGGTTCTTTTGACAAATCTGTTTGTATATTTTCACTTGGACCAGACCGACTAGTAAGCAATTGGTTATAAAAGATTTATTATTTTATATGTTAACATCAGAGAAAATATATGTCTTAATATAAATATTATTCTATTATAGAAACAAGAAATAACTTTTAGAGGACATGGTGGTAGCGTCGATCAATTATGTTGGCATGCATTCTGCCCAGAATTATTGTCAACAGCAAGCGGTGATAAGACAGTACGAATTTGGGATACAAGAACTCAAAAGTGTACTGCTAATATTAGTACCAGAGGCGAAAATATCAACATATCTTGGTCACCAGATGGTAATACTATAGCTGTTGGAAACAAGGAGGATCTTGTAACGTTCATCGATGCTAGAGTTATGAAAATACGCGCGGAAGAACAATTTAATTTTGAAGTTAACGAGATCTCATGGAATAAAGATTCGGATACATTTTATTTAACCAATGGACAAGGCTGTGTACATATTCTTAGCTATCCAGAATTAGAATTGTTGCATGTTATAAAAGCGCATCCGGGAACATGTATATGTATCGAATTTGATCCAACTGGACGTTACTTTGCGACTGGCTCTGCAGATGCTTTAGTGTCTTTATGGGATGCCGATGAATTGTGTTGTTTAAGAACTTTCTCGAGATTAGAATGGCCAGTGAGGACTATATCTTTTTCTTATGATGGACAATTATTAGCAGCGGCATCGGAAGATTTAGTTATAGATATTGGTGAGGTTGAAACTGGAGAAAAGATTGCTGATATTCCAGTTGAAGCTGCTACATTTACAGTCGCATGGCATCCAAAACAATATTTACTTGCTTATGCCTGTGACGACAAAGATACGTACGATAGGAAAAGAGATGCTGGTAGTTTAAAAGTTTATGGATTTGCTAATGACTGATTCGGACATTTTTATATGATTTTTATAATTAATAATTTTATTGATTTCCATAACGAGTTTTCAAAAGTAATTCTGCTACTTTATCAATAATTTCTGGATGACAAAATGTATTAACAACGTCTTTTGATAATTGAGAGAATAATTCTGTTTCATTAAAAGAAGTCGTGGGTGCAGATATATTTGTTTCCTGTATCTCGTCAATGTTTGTTAAAAATCTTTCCCTTTTCAATTTTAATAAATCTTGTAATTCAGATTGCTCCAAATTAGGAAGCAATTTAACAAAGTATGGATATTCTAAAGATAATTCTGCAGCAGTCCATACCATTTGCTTGACTCTTTTTCTATCTGATATCTTTTCGGTATCAGTCTTTTTACATTCTAGCAAAGAGTTCTCCAACTAATAATAATAAAGAAAAAAAAATATTATTAATACAAGTACTATGAAAGGATAAAATTATAATATAATTATATTTTAAGTCGAGAACTTACAATCTTTAAACTTTGAGAAAAAGAACAGTGTGTTTCCTCACGATTGTCACATACTTTTTTACCGATTCTGTTAATAATTAATTGAACAAGCGCTTCTTTAAGACGTGATTCGTTGTCTGTCTGTAGAGGTAACCATATATTGACGCTTACAGTCAAATTCAAGGATTCTACGTAATGCCACCAACCTTTTGGAACCAATAAAACATCCCCCACTTCAAGTACAATAGATTTAACTTTTCCTGAAAGTTTTAATATCGATTCTTCTTCTACAATAGTCGGAGAAAAAAAATTAAACTCGCTGTATATCGTTGATTCTTCGTATGGTACTCTTGTAGGATGAAGTTCATTGGTACAATTTGGCGGCAACAATATCCATTGTTTTCTATAATTTCATATAAAAAAAAATGATTACCTAAGGATAAAAAGATTTAAATTATAAAATATATTATGATAGAATATTTGTATACACCTGCCATGAATTTGTGCTACTAAATTACATCCGTAAGAATCGAAATGGCAATTAGTGTGTGCCCCTTTGTTTCCAATCCAAAGCGTAGAATCGTGACCATCTTTTTCAATACCAAATCTATGCCAATTGAAGGAATTAAGTAAATCAGGCTTATCCTGTATCCATTCATGCATATACTTGTAATCAAAATAATACCATTTATTATTATTGACAGAGGAATTGGATTTTTCTAAAAATTCAGTGAATGTCATTGTTTTAATATGACATTGTTTTTCCCATTGTGGATGCTATAAAATATATATAAATTATATTTTTCTAACAAATGTTGTCAATTTTTAAATATGAATTTATATAATAAGAAGTAAATGACAGATACCATTGATTTGGAATTATATCCAACACGAAATGGTAATTTCATATCACCAAATTTGTTACTGAGTTCTAGTAAATTCCATTGTAATAATTTCCATATAAATTTGCCATTGTCATCTTGTAAAATATTATTAAACACTACTGGTTCTTGCAGATCAAAAATAATTTTCTTTAAAGTCTCTTCATTTGGCATATTAATCTTTTCCATTGTAAATAACCTTTTTTTTTTTATATTTCACATAAGTTATATAAACAAAGGGCCTTTATACTAATAACTTTAATACTATTAATATTATTTGCAATATAACACATATCGTTTCGTTTAATTAATATATGATTAAACAAATTTATACTACAATTTGTTTTTTTTAAATTTAAGGTTAGTTTAGAATTTTAGTTAATGATTTAAATACCAGGTGGTGTACGACAAACTTGATACCTAGTTTGTTCTGTAGAGGGAAATGCTATCGATTAAAATATAACCCTAAATCTGTAAAATAATTATGCACTTTTCTAGTTGAATTTTTATGAAATAAAAATCAAATAAAATGTTAAGATCAATAAGTTTTTGTGCAACTCAATTAAAGACACTAATTAAACCAATTGTTAACACGACCACAAAAAATGTCTTGTCACAGAATAATACGAAAGATTTATTTTATCAGCAAACAAGGGTATTCCTTTATTTAAATATTATTTTTATGTCTTATAATCTACGTTTTATATATGAACTATATATAAAATATCTAATATTTATTTTTAGAATACTTTTATTTTAAAAAGAAGGAATAAACCACCACTTAATAAAAAGTGTGGAAAGAAGAGAATTCTTCGACCAAAGCACTTCATTTACGAATTAGAAAAACATGTTGAAACTACAAAACACAAACCAATCCAATTGATATTAACATCTAATGTAAAAAACATTGGTGTTAAAGGACAAATCGTTTCTCTAAAACCTGAGAAAGCTTACAATGATGTAATCTTACCTAAATTAGGAGTATATGCGACTGAAGAAAATATTGAAAAATATATTGTAAGAAATGACGATGAGGAAACTAAAATTCCTTTGATAACAAGAAGAACAATACAATTTTTATCCATTTTTTATTTATCCGTATCGTTATCGCCAGAAGTCCCATGGACTTTAGAAAAGTGGCACATCAGAGTAGCCTTTCGTAAGGCACGATTTCATGTACCAGAAGAAGCTATAACATTGCCAGAAAAACCAATATCTGGACCCGATATGTCCATTGAAGGAAAACAATTTTATGTCATCGTAACGATTAATGATAGTGAACAAGTTAAAGTTAGATGTAAAATCCACCATTTGGCTTCTATGGAAAAGGATCGTATATATGTAAAAGACTTTTGGAAATATTTAAACGATCCTATTTTCCCAGAAGATAAACCAATATTAGATTCTTTGCCTTTACCATGTAATCAACAAAATTTAATGTAAAATATATCTATCTGTAGATTTACTTGTTAATAAATTTATTATATTATAAAAGAGAAAGATTTTAAATTCTTTTTTAATTAATAATATTTAGATAATTTCATTAATTATATTTATAGACATTATCTGTAATATTAAAAGCAAAGGTAGATTTATACGAGATGTCCCAGTTTTTTTTCACAAAATTTTATCAAGAATACGCTGGAAAAATTTTATAAACAAAAATATTGAAACACTATGTATATAAACGCATCAATTGTGTTAGGACACACACACATATCATTTGAACTCTCTAGTAATCAATATAATTTTACTCTCTTATAACTTCAAAAATATATCCATCCCTATTGTCAAGTTTATTTGTATTTACAATATTAACCTCTAAAAATATATGAATGATTTTTATATAATTATTTTTAATAACTAATTCATTTAATTATGGTGGATGATAAACAATTTATATGGGATGAAATATCTGAAGGCTTAATATTTCCAGGGTAAAAGAATATTATATTACTCTTAGATCTATTATTATATTAATTATCTGTATTCTAGTTTGTAATTCATTTCTATATATTTTGCAGAATACAACAAACAGATGATGAACAAATAAAAGGACGTGCAATAAAATCTGAAATAATAGATCCATCAGAAATTTATTGTCCCCATGATTATTTGATTTTAAATTTTCATGAAACGTTGAGTCCAAGTCAGAAAGTAATGAAATAATAGCAATGGATAATAAATAAAATAAAATTAATATCGATGTATAATTAAAAAGAAAATATTTTACAGATAAGATTTAAAAAATATTATTTGCGTAAAGTAGCTCCCAATGAGCCAGACGTTATCATTTTGCAAGACATTAAAGATCTTGTTATGTTTTTACTTGCCAGTCCAGTCAGCGTTAAATTCATAGATTTTTTTCACTTGCCAGTCGTTGATCATTTCTTAAGAGCACTTATAATATATTTTCAATATTATATAGAAATATGGGAAAAGTTAACGGAAGAACGAGTGGCTACTTTGAAAAAAGCTCCTAATCCGTTAGCTGGTGGGCATAGAATTAAATACGCAGATGAATTACATACTTTACGATGTATGCTAAGTAAAGAGTATGCAGATTTAATAGTAGGTTGTCAGGATACTGTACGATATCATCATATGATAAGCGGGAAAAAGAAAGCGAGTATGACACAGTCGCAAGGAGAAAAAGATTTAAGAATATTTGAAATGCTAATTCATATATCTCATCGTGTTGTATGGATAGCTTTACATCGTAAATACTTTCACTTAATCGGTAAGTTATGTTACATTATTAAAAACACAATTATATTTATTCAATAACTTAGAAACATGATCGATGAAAAATATGTCTATTGTGTTACAGTACAAAATACAACTTTATATTATTTTTCATTGTGTTTTACTCTCTTTTCTCTCTCTTTCTTTCTCTGTTATTATTACGCTTATTGATATATGTGTATTTATGTAGAATCAGAATTACATAGACTACTTAGAACTGAAGTCTATAACACTGCGGAAAGAAGAACTGGTTATACTATTAAAGATATGTTAGAAAGTGATATTTTTGTACTACATGGTCCACGAATACAATCTAAAAGAAAATTACTTAAAAATTCTCCTTTAATAGAGGATTTAATTTATTCTGAATGTAATTTCAAAGTATTATCATTAGGTAATACATTTGTAAGTATTATTCGTGTTAATGTGTCGGATTGAATTTGGTTCATACTCTAAAATAATATTAAAAATAGTATTATTTTAATTAATCGAGTATTTTAAAGAAAAAAATAAAACTTAATTCAAGCATGATTAATTCATTTTTATCTTACTACGTGTAGGAATGATAGACGTTGATAGAAGCGATCCACGAATCGATTACTTACACAACGCATTACTTATTGATGAAGAGATGTTGCCCAAACTTGGAATTAAAGTAGGCATACTTGGACAAGAAAGATCCAATTATGATTTAATGTTAATGCTAATCGAATCAGAAAATTCTAACGACGTTGAAAAAATCGATCAACCTGATAAACTAAAATATGAAAAAAGCAAGATCAGCGTATCTGATAAACCAACACAAGATAGTTCGGTATGGTTTCTTTTTTAATTATATTTACACTATAACTTCTCAATTCCTAGCGTCGATTTTGTAAGAAACAAAATAATATGATTGAATTTATATTATAAACAGGAATATGATCAAAATATTGTTAGAATGCCTTCTTTTGGATTAGAATCCATGTTAACGACAGAACTATTCCAAGCGAAAAGAATAGATAAGTCGTCTAAAAAATATTCTAAAGTTCGTGAAGATGCTAGGAAAAAATGGATTATTAGACAATTAGAGATTCATAGTAAACAAATGGATACATATTCTATTACAACGACTATTACTAGAAATCAAATTGAATGAAAACCAATTGAAATGATTTGGTAAATAAACTTCTTAACAAATATTATGTTAACTTCTTTTTGATTGCATTACAAATAAAATTATTTAATCAAATAGTTCAATTACTTGTTATCTTAGTTTTAATTTATTATAATGTAATAGTTGTAGTCGAAAATAATATTATATTGAAAGACTCTACATATTTTTTAGGACGTAAATAGAAAATAAATTAATAAAATTACTTCGAAATTTGTGTTTTACGATAATAAATAAAAATGATTATTCTAGTTAAATATAAAAAAAAAAGACTATCAGACCATACCATCAGTTACAGGACACCCTGTATAATTAAACAGAATACTGATAAAAATGTTATCCAGCTATTATGTAAATCCAATGAATTTACATACATCGTATATATATATTTAATCTTTAAAAAATGCTTTATATATCACACCAATAGAGGATAAAAGTGAATGGGTTCAGATAAACTGAGTATTTTAAGACAATGTAAAAAATATGCTTATTATAATTAATAATGTCTAGTCAAGAGTAATAATGTTGATATTTTACAATGAGTCACATATAGATACACTCGATGCAATGCATTATTTTTTTTTTCTTTCTTTGATTAAATTTTGCATTGTCCTTTTTCATAAATAATCACTATATATATATGTATACCTAATTCCTAATGTTCTACGTAGTAATAATAGTTGACAATAATTTATTTCCAATACCGGAGGGCTGTCCAAACTGCAAATATTTAAATAGTTTCATTTATATATAATATAAATATATATATATATATATATACGAGATTGTTTACTATCTTTTTGCAAATGGGTTTTGTAATAATTTATTTCTTTCAAAACTAACGTTATACTTTGAAAATGTGACATCATTTTTTGCGAATTATATTTCATTTTCGAACAAGTGACACGCACATTTAAAAGGCAAAACAACTAATTACCTTATTATTCAAATATTTGGCACTAAGATTTTGATAATAAAAACTAGATTATTCTTCTTTTTTTCCTTCCTTTCTTTCTTTCTTTCAAGCAAAATTTATATAAACTGTTCTTGTACTTACATTCAGTGATGAATGTTTAGCAATAACTATTAACTTTAATGCGTGACAATTTCATACGTTTAATTCTCACATCACACTTAATTATCGATATGTATTAAAACTATGATCATTTGTAATCTATCATCTTTCTCGACGATGCGCTTACGATCAAATATTTGACTATGCTTTGCATATTTTTATATCGAGTTATGATATTTTTGTAATAGCAGTAAAATGGCAGTACAAAACTCTCTTAAATATTTCATAATAGCAGCAATCTAGTCTTACTGTCAGAATCTGTGCCTCGACTGAAAAATTATTATTATTATTATTATCATTATTAATATATACAACATTAAATACCCCAAAATATAATGAAGAGAAGAAAAATTATTTTTTCCTCGTTCGATTAATGAAATAATTCTAACGCGTGTCGTGTTTCCCATATCGATTGCAAAATATTAACTTTACGCTTATATATATATAATGAACGGTATTAAAAATGAAACTCTTTCAGATCATCTTCGGTTTTTTACTCATTTCTTACAGCTACTTATCACTGAATATTTGTCTACATGAATATATTACAAAATGGATAAAGTAACGATATCGATCATAATGTTTACGTATTATTTTAGTATTCACGATTACTTTGATGAATGATTGTGACAAACAATCGATGAAATAAAAAAAATAATAAAAAAAAAAAAAAACGGAAGTAATTGTTAATAGATTTATAACACATATCGTGTACTTTTATATAAATTCAGTCGTATCCCTGTCAAGCTGTAGTTGTTTTATACGTTTTATACGCACAAGGTGTTTGGATATAATTTATAAAAAAAAAGAGAAAAAAAAAATTAAACAGTTTTGTTCATACACTAATCAAGAGATCATTTTCTTTTTTTTTTTTTTTTGGATATACTAATATAACATTACTTCATCGTTAACGAAAACTTGCCAAAAAAGATCTTAGATTTGTCATTAATAATTTGATATTTTACAAACCGATACAACTATAAATTAAAAATGTGAATGATTTGGATTAACACATTTGCTACCATGAAGAAATTTCAACTATAACTTGGAACTTATATTTCATGCCAATTACAGAATCTTAATGTAAATCTGTATTTTACAGATATGCGAGTACACTAGTAGCAAATAAGTTAAGATCACCAACATGTAATAATTTATAGCATAATTACAATTAGAAATGCAAATGCACTATCTCAAAATTTTCATAAAAAATGTTCTTGTGTATTTTACATAAATATCATTTTTTTTTTTTATTTTTATTTTTTAATACGACGACGACATTATATCTAGATCTTTTTTAAGTTACATTTTATATNTATAATATAGATATTAATAATCCTAAGGCTATTCTAGGACAAATATTTGGTGCTCGTACGTAAATTATAATTGTATATATATATATATTTTTTTGTTTTATAAGAAAATGATTAATAAAAACACTAAAAGGATATAGAAATTTTGTGAATCAATCATAACGCAATAATTACTAAAATGAAAAGAAAAATTAATTAAAGAAAATTTTATAAATTAATTTTAACGCACTTGAATGCGTTTATTTGCTTAATTTATATTTAATCATGACAAAATTTGATATATTGGACACAAATTTGTCTTTCTTTCTCGAATCATTTAGGATAGTAAAAAGTAAATTCATGAAATTTAGTTTAACTTACAATTAGTTTAGATTTTTTTTTTGTAAACTAAAAGAAGATAAAAATAAAATATGTATAAATAGAAATGAAGAAATTAAGTAAAATGTAACAAAATAGAAAGAGAAAAATAGATGATCGTGAAATAGGTCTCTCTATTAATACATAACGTCTAATTATAATAAAATTCTAAATGTGTGTGACATATATAAAAGAGAATATATATATATACCTTGATATTTGTTTTTTTTTTTTCGTTTGCATTATTTTGAATAATATTGCATATCCTGAATGCTGATAGTGTCAATTATTAAAGTGTAATATTTCGTTTGTTGCATATCTCTTCATTGCCCGTAGTATTTTAAATGAAAAATAAATTTAAACGAAATTTAATTTAATTGCTGAAGTAGTTTTCTTAGCGCCCAAATAAATCTTCGTTGATTTAAATAAAAAAAAAAAAAAAAAAACCAAGAATTTTCATTTCGTTAATGTTCATAGCAAGCTGCAAATATATGCTACAACTTTTGAATACTATGAACGATTCTTAATTAGATATTTAATTGGAAAATAAAAAAAAAATAAAATAATAATGGAATTCTTAAACATTTACAAGCACGTATATACGTCGTACATGACATTAAATCTAGCCATGTGTTACCTAATGTCCATCATCCTAAATTGGTAAAAGTTTTTACTATTTTTTTTCTCTTCTTTCACATTCTATATTATGTATAATCGATCCCTGCCAATGTCTTGTAAACATGTACAACTGCATATGATAAGAAGTCAGTGAGTCACGAGTTAACATGTAACAGCAGCAGCAGCAACAGCGGCACAGACACACAAGAAAAGTATCTCTCTTTTCTTGTTTTTTCTTTTTTTTCTCTTTTTCTATCTCTTTCTCGTTCTCATTTTCGTTCTCATGCTCGTTCTCTTTCTTTCTCTCTCTTTCTCTACATCATAAGGAACACACGCGAATTTTATTTTTCTGATTATTATAGTGTTAATGTAGGTGGGGCTACGAAGCTATGTCTGACATAAGTTGGGCTAGTAAAGCTGGCTCTAAAAGTCCATGTGTTTGTCCCATTCTTTCTAAATTACGAACATCTTTGTCCACTGCTTCTAACGCTCTTTCCAATTCTTCCTCCTCCTCTCTTGATGGCTCATATTCACCGTTTCTATTTTCTAAACAAAAAATAGTTATATAAAAGTATTATTATAATTGTTCTTTCATTGTTTTTTTTGTTTTCCCTATTATATATAATTAAATAATAATTACCAATAAATAAATCATTAAACGCATCCGGAGGTAAAGTGTTGAGTACGTTTCCAAAGTCGTGTTCGGATGGATCAAGAGAAGCAAATACTTCGTGATCGCTTAACTCGACTTTGAGACCTCCCCCTAGTCCGAGAGAACTCAAACCCAATCCTAAGTTTAAGTTAGAAGAGTTAGAGCTTCCTTGAGTAACGCTCATATTATTCAAAGTCTTGATATGACTTTCACTAGAGTTCATTTGGCTCAGGTAATGATTCTCTTCATGCGCTAATGTACCTTTGGTCTCTAATTTATTAGCGGGAGGTCGCCTCTTCTTCTTTGGCCTTGATTTAGGCTTAGGCCTTGGGATTGTAGGAGATGCCGGTTTTTTCCTTGCTTTCTTTGGTTTGGATTCTTGAGCCTTACGATTATAATTATCCCTCTTTCTGGCGTGTTCAGGACAAAGCGGTAATTCGTGCGCTACGTCAAACACAGGAATGCAACACTGTGTGTTGTCACTAAATTTGGCAGTGCAATGTTCAAACAAAAGTTGATCTCCATTTAACATAATGTGCCGAGAACAATGACGAGTGCAAGGTAAAGATATTTGTTGGCATCCTTCTGCACCGCATTGTCCTCCTACCAAAAGTGGTCCATCTATTATTTTGCTAGTTCCCGGCAAATCACCTAAAGCTCTAGCTGTAGATGTTGGATCCTTGTAAGCAGCTTCCAATAAACACCTCGCACGTTCACGTAAAAGTATTTCAGAGTCAGCGTCACTTCTATTTAACTGTATCAAACGTCGTCTTAACTGAGATCTTAATTGGGACAATCTTGCAGAACGATTTAATTCTGTACTCGTGTCTCCTGGGAACCAATGGCGTTGATAAACTGTCATCTCGTCTCCGCTCGATTCGCTATCTGATATTTCGTCACCCGCTTTGGGATAATACAGCAACGTGTGGTCCCGATTTGGCCTCCTTGACCTCAGCCGTTGCAGATTTTCTATGTGTCGTCGTTTACTTTGAACTATATTAGAATATTTTTGATCTATGCTTCTGCCAACACCATAATCCACATTCAAGTCTGTCCTTCTACCTGTAACAGTTCTATATCCTGCACTTGGTATGGCCGTTAATTTTGTCCTCTCTTTTGTACATTTTCCTTTACTTTTTTTACAATTTTGCATCACTTGAGAACTTTTATTAGTAACTACTGTACAGTTTCTTCCAGATGCTGCGCTACCAAATGGTTCCGGTTCACTAAAAATATACGGATCAACATCCTGGTGCGCTTCCGTTTTCAATAAAGCCTTCAATCGATCTGAAAACTTCAATTTATTGTCCATGTTTGAGTTTCCTGACGTTGGGACCTTCATTGATTGCCGTTCTTATTACAATGCATTCTATCCGCATTATCAAATTATTTCCAAGCGATTATTAAAATTTCTTCCTTATCTCTATCTAAAACAACTCTTAGTTTCTATGCCATATACCAAAACTCTAAACACATATGTACACTTTTTATTATTGTAAATAATACTGAATATATATAAAAAGATTATAACTAAATTCATTTAAATTACATCACAGTTATGGCTCTTTTTTTTTTTTCTTTCTTTCTTTCTTCTTCTTCTTCTTTACAATTAGGTTCTAAAAACCTTTATAATACATTAGCGCTAAGACAATTATGTTTGTTTTACTACGTGCAAAGAAATTTGAGTAATAAAAAAAGGTATTGTACAATTTGGAAAATAGTCCACAAGATTATTTAACCGTGGTAATATTTTTACCTAAGATACTTAATTGTCTACTTAATCGTTAATATATATATTTATACATACGGATACATACAACCGTCATGGTACGCATATTTTAAAATACACTCAAATTATAATCAAATAGAATTGATTTAAATGTCACCGATGATGCACACATTACTTTACCGAGAGAGATAACCATAACAACAAAGTTACTTGGACAAAATATTTGATTTAACAATTACACTAACAATCTTGTTACTCTGTTTTGAATTTAGATTGAAGAATGTACATAACGTTAACGATACCGATATTATATTTCAATAAGAATAATTCATAATTGAAATGAGAGTGTAAAAACAAACCCTTGTTTTACATATCAGTAGTATGTTACTGAGAAATAAAAAATGTTTACGAATGTTGAAACAATTGCAAACAAAACGTTCCATCAATGTAATATACACAATATTGTAATAAGAATAACGAATAATATTCGGCTACTTAATAATCATATTAATAACAGTATTATTTTCCTCAGTGATGGCATATTAACCAGTAGATGCACACACAATGTTGGAGGTCAACAATATTTGGTTATGTTCGGCCCTCTTCCTTCCATTGACAAACGATCGAGCAACACCGTAGAAAATGAATTTTCAACTGTTGTTTATAAGAAATCGTAAAAGAGAGAGAGAGAGAGAGAGAAAGAGAGATAGATAGATAAAGAGAAAAAGAAGAAGGGAAAAAAGAAAGAAAGAATCTATATATGTATCATTGAATCGATCTTCTTCGTTTACATATTTAACGTAAAAAAAAAGAAACAAAAAGAAAAAACTTATTAATTAAACTTCGATTGCGCACGTTAAATATCTTGTACATATATATATGTATATATATATATGTGTGTATATAAATATATATATATATATATATATATTTGTTTATATCTTTTTCTTCTTTCTATCTATCTAGTGATTCCTTAGGCTTGTAAGGGGGGCTTTTTTAACGTATATTTAAGTTAGATCGAAATTCGTTAAGTACCGTGCGAATTATTATTATCTCTAATAATAATGATGATGATAGACCATATATCGTCCAATCGGAATAAACTTGAGCTTTCTTCTTATATACGTGTTACACTATTAAACAAATGATTTTTCTTTCTATATAATTTCTCACGCACGAATAATAATATTTATCGATAATAACATTAGAAAAGACATGTCAGATGTGAGAGAAGCAAAATGGCGATCAACGCGTACACGAAACTATCTTTGTTACGAATAATCCATGAAAACGTTATTATATTACTCCTAAACTCGACGTATCAGCGTTCTTTGTTTATGCCCAATGATTACTTATTTTTACATTACTAATATTACTATGTTAATATTTGATTATTCGTTTAATATTCGATTAACTTACAAGAATGTTTACCTCATTGTTACTTAGTCTAACATAACCTAACAATCGAATATATATTTTCTTTTATTTCTTTCGAATGAATCCTTCATTCTTTTATTTTCTTTTTGGTATTTGTTTTGTTTTATACCTCTTTTATCTAATAAAAATCCACATTATATATATAAGTTTAATGCGTGCGTCAAATTTTATATTTAAATAATAATCTAAATGTTATAGCAATCTTTCTTACGTTGGTATCTTCTAGTAGGTTAACCTTTAATGATATTACAGTAATGAGATTTAAAAAAATGATTTCTCTCTCTTATTTTTTTTTACTTCTTTAAACATTGAAATTAATTCTAATCGACTATAGTTAAGATAACAAAGCTTTCTAATTTTACTTTATTTTATTTTATGCGTCACGTTTAATAATAAGAAAAATATAAATTTATATACTTGCATCGAACGGACCTTTAATATGAATGCAATAATAATAATAAAATTGCGGTATGTTTTTGAAACAATTTCATTTTTTTCTGTTTTATTTAAAAATAAATAAAACAAATCGAAACTGGAATAAACAAAATTTTAATTAAATATTACAAAGCATTGTTCTAATTAAATTATCGTTAATATATATTTTTTATCTTTCTTTAATTATGTCTAATTTTTTAAAAATATTTTATGTAAATATTGGGGAATTAAAAATATATAAAATTAAATATAAATTATAATTACATATAAGATAATATTTTTTTTTTTAATTCGTTTTATATTTAACTAGTTATTATTTTGATTTACATACATACATACATATATATATATATATATATATATATATATATATATATATATATATATGTGTATTTACTAATCAGCTGATTTTGACAGATAAAAAATATTTTCAGTATTTAATTAATTTTCTTAAAAATTTTGACGTTATATTTGATAGTTAATAATTATTAAAAAAAAAAAAACACTGCAAATTTTGTCATAAATTTACAAATATTAATAATAATTAGAAATTATAAAAAAAAAGTTATTAATATACAGAGTATTCCAGTTATTTCTTCACAAAATTGTACCCTATATATAAATATAAACATAAATTTTTCTATTAAAAATAAATATAATCAGTGAGGGAAAAAAGGAAAAAATTGCATGCGATAAATAAACATTTACAGGGACCTAAGAATAATGCGGTAATATTTATAAGTTGAAACTGAGCATTATGTAAAATGAATAGGAACATATCTATATTATTTCAAATAAATCATTAACCATTATATTCTTAGGTCCTGCGTACAGAATATAAGAAAAAATTGTAAGATTTACAACACCATGCTTGTAAACAACAAGACTATGTTATTACAAACGTTTTGTTCAACAATGCACCATTTAACAAACTGGATTACCGTATTTGTGACATGTGTTTTTAAACCCATTGATTTCTTTTTCTTTTTAACAATTTAACAACCAGTAAAACTCATTTTTTATTCATAAACTTTTGTTGTTGTATTTCTCTCTCATTAGAATGTAATCTAAATTGAATACACAATGCAATACAAACCTGTACGAAAAATTAATTTTTTTTCCAATAAAATATCATTGATATTTGATTATAAAGAAAACGTATACATATAAATTAATCTAAACACAATCATTGAATTAATTAGAAAATATTCTATATATATATAATATAACATATATATTATATATATATGTGTGTGTGTGGGTTTGTATGCGAATACAATTTCAGATAAATCCAATTAATTAAAGAATAATATTTAATTATTGTAATGAATCTTCATTACAATGGTTTCAAAAAGTATCTACTATCAGTGTACCTAAAATATATTATTAGAAATACACTTAATATATATACACAGTGGTATTTATTTGAATAATGTGTAATCATCCTATGTTGCAATGAATTAGGTGAAATAAACTTATATATGATATATACTATTATGCGAAGTGCCATATTACATTAGACAATCATCATAAAGACTATAATATGGAACTTTCTTTGAAAAATAATTAATAATAAAATAATTCTTTTTTGTGATTTTCTGAAACATTGAAATAAAATCTTTCTCTCTTTCTCTTTTTTTTACTTTTTCTGTTTTTTTCTTTCATTCTCTCTATCTCTCTTTTTTTTTTTCATTATTCTTCGAACAAATCCTTTGATGGTACTAATTCACACTTTTAGACTACAGTTTGTGGTAGACCCAAGGGACGGTAATTCTGTTGTTACAAAAGTTGTATTTGAAATCTGTTATGGGATAAGTATTATACATTTGTTACGTCGTTTTCTTTAAAGGTTTTTGTCCTTTAATAACTACTGGCCGGCCTTTAATGAAACCTTTCTTACGCCGTGCAGTCTGAAACATTTAATGTTTAACCCCCCATAACTTCAACTAGATTTCCAGATTCATTAATGTAATACAGCAAGAATGTCAAACGATACGATTAATAATATACCAAAAATCAATTATCTTTCTTTCTATTTATATAATAATAATCTTATCGCTTTACGATAATACTAACCTTTTTGCTAATATATGAATTTGCTCGACGAGCTATAACTCTGTCCGCAATTGGAATCCTGGGTCTATTAAATTCATCTGGTTTCTTCACCCTGTTAAAAAAAATTACAAGATAAATAATAGAAATATTTTCTATCCGATGAAAAATAATTGTATTCATTAATTTATTTATTTATATATTTTTAGAAATATTTTAAAGAATAAAATTACCTGTAAATCCTAACGAGCCAATGTTCGGTGGTATAAGCCTCTTCCAAATAAGTTAATTGGAAATTTTTATTTCCAATTTCAGCATTGCGAGTACGATCATAGCCGGAAGGTGACCTGTAGTCAATTTTAACTTCACCAAATCTATAATAACTTAACTTGTACATTAAAGAATTCAATAAAGTAGGAGATCCTTCCGAATCGACTCTGAACTCTCCCTTTTCTGTGAAGTAATCACTTTCACGAATATCTTGAGGATGTTCGCCTTCGGCTATTCGTATCATCCATAAGAATTTGTTGACATCGTCACCAGAATAACCAATCATACCACCAAAAATAATTAATACATAATCTACATCTAAGGATGTCATAATCTCATAAGCAGCACTTTCATTAGAGCTCATTGCTTTACCGACCAAAGCTATATGGGAATTATTCCATGTATTATTATCCACGAGCGTAGTTCTATACAAATAAAAAATAAAAAAGTATTATATTAATTAAAAATATTAATCATGTATGATAACTTTAACTTACCTGTTGGCCATTCCAGCTATTTGATAACCATAATCCCACCAGCTCATAACTCTAGCATCGTTAGGTGTATTTTGTGCTAACCAGTAATAAGCTTCCCTAAAATCATCCAGAATAGCTCTACCACCATCATTGCTATAAGATGCTAATACGATTGAAGGACTAGAATATGCATTACTTGTAACCCAAGTACAATGCACAGTGAACATCATTAATAATATTAATACACCAATGATGACACTATTTCTAAGACTGTCGCCTAATCCATCACCAGCGTCCTTAGGTCTTTCGTGTTTCATTCTTCTAAGTTTTCCAGCTTTATCGTACAATGCTCTGCCTGGACTTCTTTCTCTCTCTTCTTCGCTTTCTTCTTCACTACCTTCGATTCTATCGTTACCATCTCTACATTCCTCTTTCAAGAATAATTCTAATAGTCCACTGAATGCTATGCCAGCTAACATACATACGACTGGAGTTAACGTAAGCATGAGTCTCACCATTACTCCAGCGAAATAGACGGCACTTATGGCATACAATATAACTGAAATATATAATTAATTTTTTCCTTTGTTAATATTGTTGTTTAATTTAAGTGTAATTAATATAGAGATACTTACCAAATACTCTTTCATCATTAATATGTTTAATGCAGTACCAAAGCCCAACGGGAAATGTTGTAACAAGAACATGTAAATCAAAAAAGAAACTGAACCAAGTAGTAGGTTGATGTTCGGAAACTGACGCTATTATAGGTATATGTATTTTTGCGTAACCAGTATCCCACAGGGAATAAAATCTTCCACTCCAAGGTGCAACAATACCAGTATAAGTTAGTATAATCAGAATAAGTAGGAGTACAACCGCTGTCACTGCTACTACACCACTAAAATATTTCATCTCAGACTTTGTCAGCACAGTTCGTAAATACCTGTTGAAAAAGAATATTTATTTATTTTTTTCTTCTTCTTAATGATATAATATCATGAATTATTAAAATCATGAAAACATAGATCGTTAAATAATTTTTATAGATACCTGAGAGTAGCTAAGAAAATCAGTAAACCAAATACGCCACTCGCAGCCATATGTTCAGATGTTCTGATCGGCTGGAAACCAACGAATGGTATTTGCATACTCAACAAAAGTCCCAAAATATAAAACGTGGTATAACTCGTGAACAAACGATTACTAAATCGATTCATAACCAACAATGCGAATACATGAAATGGTATTAGATTAATAATGAAAACATATCCACCCCAAGCAGACACCATATAAAAATATGACAGAGCAGTCATGGATGCCCAAAATATTGATCCAGTTTTAACTGATTTAACCCAAAGATAGTAAGTTATTTGTAATGCAAATATCGCTATTCCCTCGTTGTCGTAACTTCCAGCTACCGATCTTGATATGTAACCTGGTACAATGGCGATGAAACACGCAGCAAATAGTCCAGCACCAGCACTCCATATTTCTTTAGTTAATAAATACGTAGAAATGGCAGTAAGGCCACTAAAAACTGGTGCTAAGAAGACACAAATATCTCTTATGTGTATGGGAATATTTAAAGAGTGTAAGATGTAATGTATCGTTCCAGATGTTATCATAAGTCCAGGATATACTGTTCCACCTACAATACGTCCTAAAGGGTACCATGCCCTTTCATCGAACCAATTCAAAAAGTTATAAAATCCATGTTGTACCATATATGCTGTTGCTCTATAATTGAACCTGTCATCGATGAACAACAGTTAGAAACATTTTCACAGTGTACCGATATTATAAATTAATATACGAATAATATAGTTTTATTTTTTAATTATATACACGAAATATCTTATCTTAAAAAATAAAATCAACATATTTGTAAATAATATATAAAGATAGTAAAAACATATTATTAAAAAAGAAATTAACATACCAAGGATCAAACTCGTGTATAATACTTTCGAACCGTATTACTGCAAATAATCTGGATGCAAAACCAGCTATCCAAGCAAGTAATAATACTGTAAAAATAATCAAAGAACTAAGACCGGCGGCATTGGTTATCGTTGAAGTTTTCATTTGCTTGGTAGTTGTTTTTTTATCGGGAAACATGATTTTTTTCGTATTTGTCGTAGACGATTTATTCGGCAACATTATGTGTATTTCTTCCAGTGAAATTAAATGCTCCTATTAATGCATATTTTCTTTTTATTCTTTTTCTCTTTTCTTTTTTTTCACACTTTTAATTGCTAACTTCTCGTTAGAAGCATGCAAACATGCACTTTCTATTCTTCGTCACACAGCACGTTGCAAAACTTATAAGACACTGCTTGCAAGAAATTATTAAACCACTATGCGCCTAGATTAGGAGGCTAGGACACGTCAAACGCCGGCTACGTGTTAATCATGTCTTCCACAACGAAACCTTATGCTCACTTCGAACAGATTATGAAAATGGCGGCATGTTCAAATAGTATTTCTTTTTTATAACATTAATATCGTTCTAGATACGCCTTTAACTTTTCGATGCACTCATTATACTATATTTTTGTTCCACCAATGATGTAACGATTATATTTTTTGTAAACTGAAATTATATTATTGTATTTATAACATTATCTTAATATTTTATTGATTCTATGAAAATTATTTTTTATTAGCCAATCATATTATAGATCATTATTCTTAGTCATTGTGTATCAAGTTTATTACTTTTTACTTACCAATCATAATACGAGGATTACTATTGCTAGATTATGATTCGACCACAAATTCGATTAGAAAGAACATATTTATATTTATGTGTGTTATATCTACTTTCTTTTGTATGCTACAAATGTACACACGATACTATGAACAAAAAATATTTATTATAAATATTGATTAGTATTAAAATATTTAATGTTTTCAACAAAAGAAAAATTAATACATCGTACCGGACAAAATGGCGTTGGCAGATACGATTTTTTAAAACTTTTAATTAATGAATTTAAATCGACCTCGTCTAAAGGTAAACAAAAGTTTTTAATTATGTCAATTGATTAGTATTCATATAATATATATAATTCTTTGATTAGATGCAAAGCTGCAAGTGTTAGCAAATTTGGTTAATTTTGCATACGATCCTGTTAACTATGATTATTTAAGACAACTTAAGGTAATAGATTTATTTCTTCATATATTATCAGAAGATAACACTACTTTTGTACGCTTTGCTATAGGAGGTATTTGTAATTTATGCTTAGGTAATGTATTATGCATTTGAATGTAACATTGATTACATTATTCATTTACACAATAATGCAAACAATCTCCACTTTCCAGATCCAATAAACAAAGCATATATCTTACGCAATCAGGGTATTCCATTAGTATCGTTATTACTTAATTCTCACGATGAAGGAATCATACTGTCATCGATTACAACATTAATGTTTTTAATTACACCTGAATCTAAAGACGATATACTTTCACCGACCATTGTTAAACGTATGCAAGATTTTTCTAATAGCACGAATACTCGTATTAAAAATCTAGCTATTATATTTTTAACTGATTATTGTCAAGAACATAGTATCGAAAAGAGCAAGGACAAAAAATGACTAGTACATCCATAACAAATTTATTGTAATATTTATTGTAATCTATATTTAATGATATTTCTACTCAAAATACGATTATGTCACGAATTTCATTTTTCTACCGTAATATAAAAAAGTATTGTACAAAGACTCCACCTGCAAAGATACGTTCTATTAGTTTAAAAGTTGGAGATCGTGTATCGATTTCTAAAACTATAACCAACAGCGATGTTTTGAGTTTTGCACAATTGACCAGTGATTATAATCCTATTCATATTACTTCAGATAAAAATATTGTTCATGGAGCTTTGCTTAATGGTTTAGTGTCAGGTGTACTTGGTACAAAATTACCAGGCCCAGGTACAATCGTTACTGAACAAACTCTTAAATATCCTAATTCTTGCTATGTCGGTGATACAGTAGAAATAATAGTACAAATAATATCTGTGCGTAAAATTATTAAATGTGAATATACGTTAATTGCTAATGGTGATCAAGTAGTTCTTAAGGGCGAAGCTAAATTAATTATGAAAGCAAATAAGGATAATGTTAATTAATTCATTTATATATATATGTAAAAATATTTAAGAAGAAATCAATAAAAACAATTTACATTTTACATTCGAATTAATCGATCGATTGGAAGTAGGTCTTATTGTATGTGCAATTGTAAAGATATAAACAAATTTCGCTTAGCTAGCAATACCACCCTTTATATATTGCAACATTTACAATTGATATACTTTCGTTGGCACGTAAAACAAATCTCAATCTTTTATCAGACTTTGGTAATATAAAAAGGTAGATGGATATATAAATATAATTCTTTTAATAATTAAAACAAATTCATTATAATATACTTAATATAAATCTTTTGTTACAGTTTGAAATGTATTTAAAATTTATTTGTATTATTCTATGCGCATCGACTGTTTACACAAAAAAAGATATAGATGTAAATAACAGTAATCATCTAGACTCATCAACGTCTGAAGAACCAGTTGGATGTGTTTGCGGTGTATTTTTAAGTGGACAATTTAAAAAAGGTACAAAAGAACAGCCTACGGGAAATCCGGTTCTTCTTCATGAACAATCCGATTCGTTTCCTTGCACTCTTCATGGAAACAAACAATGTATTAATAAATGTCTCGAGATGGTGAGTTGATAAAATTGTTTTTAAGATATAATTAATGTTTATATAAACACATACAAATTATATTAGACTAGTATGTTACTTATTTATATTACAGATCATAAAACATCTTCCAAACAGTTCAAATTTACTTTGTGCTGCATTAGATCGTGATTGTTTAAAAGAAAAAGTAAGTAATTTGCTTAATATCATTATTATATTAATGGAATAAATAAAATAATACTACATAGTTATATTGTATTAAAAAGATATACAAATATTAAAACGAAGTTTTTATTCAATACAGGCATCTCTCTTCATACAAAATTGTAAAAATAAATGGATTAATACGAATTTATCGAGTGGTAAAAAGTATTGTTGCAAAGATGGGATTTCGTATAAGTGTCCTATCAATTAATTAATATAATATTTATATATATGTATATACATATTTAATTGTAATATTTTCTAATCAATCTTTTTATATTCCTAGATATTATTTTTAAATTCCCCGCCTTTTATCTATATATAACCTAACTCCTTCAAAGCAGAAGAATTCAACATAAATACCTGAAATACTGTGCATCTATATTTAGGAATTGAGTTATAACATTCTGTCCTGGATTTTATATATGGATAGCTCATTAAATAGACTATTTCTATTTAAAATGCATTGTTAAATCATAATTCAGCTTTAAAGAATTCTTGTTCTTTTTGCAATACTCACAAGTGGAAATATAACCCCAATAACAGTGTCACTAGTAAATAACATTAATCTTAAGCTTAATAAATTGATTAATGTGTATTATATTTTAATTGTATGTTTTATATTTATACATTCTTTTTTTGGAAAAAAGAATAAAGTGAATGATCAAAGGTAGTAAAAATTAATATACAGTAAAATATTTATGTAAACAAAAATAAAATGAATATTTGAATGAATCAATGATATGAAATATAATGCAATAAAATAAGAGATTAAACTTAAAAACGCTTTGATATTTGGTACCGCAAAGCTTAAAAATATGTGTGCTCGTCTTTTAGCGTGTCCTTTATGTTCTCAGCCTGGTTTTCTAACTTTGGACGCTTTACGAGCAGGACTTGTAAGCGTTGCTACTAGACCTCTAATGTGTCCAGTTTGTAATGAAGTATTAGTCGGTATAGATAAATTGACTATACATCTATTCGGACATACCATTAATATTAATGATAATTCCATACAATTATCGAAACCTATTAATATTAACGTAGACAATAACGAGATCAGTAATCCTAATGTTCAAGTTAAAAGCATCATTCACAATTGGAATGTATTACGCAAAGAACCTGTTGACACTGGTCAAGGATTCATTAAAAAGAATAAAAGTAAAAATTGTTGTGATATCGATCACACAATGCAATCATGTTGCACTATTTCAAATAGTATTAATAAAACGTCGACTATGAATTCGCTGACTAAAGTTCAAACCGATGGGTCGTTTAATAAGGGTTCCCAAATTCTACATATATCGGAGCAAATTTATCCTAATACGAGTACAAACGAATGTTTTTATAGTAAAGAAAATGATAGATTATTTATAGAAACGCATGATGATTCTTCAACAGTTATTAGCGAGTTGTCGAAACGAAATTGCTTGGAAGATTGTTACAAAGGTAACAATGTACAAGAAGAAAATTTACAACGGAGAGAAACTAACAAATTGGAAGATGTTTGGATAGAAAATTTGTCTCAACAAGTTTGTAATCAACATTCCACAACGAAAAGAGATTCATTGGGAGGAACTAATGAAACTCGTGATATCGTCTTAAAGCAAACAGAAATTAATAACGATGATTATAATTTGAAAAATAATTTAATCATCAATTTTCCAAATGTTATGACGATGAATGATAATGTTAATGTTTTACCATTAGAAATTAATAATAAAGAACATTCAAATGATCATAAGAATACATTGATTGATTCTATCATTGATGTTAAATCAGATCAGAATGTAAATGGTGAAAAAATAATATCAAATGTTAAGCTGTTAAAGGAAAAGACTGAAAGGTGTAATATATGTGGATTCCACTTTACAGATAGTAATATTCTTCTTTTGCATAAACAATTAGTTCACATGGTCGATGAACAAAATTTAAATCCTACTAATGATAACTTGTTAAAAAGTTATTCATGCCATTTGTGTTCAAAGGTTTTTAAAATGCGCGGCAGTTTAATGATACACATGAGAGTCGCACACATCGGTCACAATTGGGGTAAACGTTTGTTTAATTTTCAGTTTATTGTTTATCTAGCAAAAGTTTGCTTATCGTAATATTATACAGGTTTTTCATCAAAGGACGGAGACACGTCGGTAGGAATTAATAACAATGGATACAATTGTCCTACTTGTGGAAAAAATTTTAAAAAAGTAAGTATTATTATTGAGATTCAAAATATGTGATTTTAATAAAAATAAATATTTGATTCTTTCGTATTAATTGAACAGGAACAGCACGTTATACAACATTTGAAAACGCACGAAGGAAAACAATGGGAATGCGACGTCTGTAGTAAAATGTTTACAACAAAGTATTTTTTGAAAAAGCATAAAAGATTACATTCGGGTGAGATGCCATATAAATGTAATATCTGCGACAAAACGTTTACTTTTCAACAATCATATCATAAACATAGATTGTATCATAAAGATGACAAACCACATATGTGCTCTACTTGTGGTAGATCTTTTAAAGAACTTTCTACGTTGCATAATCATGAACGAATTCATACAGGAGAGAAACCTTTTGCCTGTGAAACTTGTGGTAAATATATGATAAATGCGATAATCTATTTTGCTTGTTTTGAATAATTTGTATTTTTTATAAAGTTTACAAACTATTATCAATATAATATGCTTTACTATTTACAGTTGTTACTAACAATCTAATTATGGGTCATTTTATTCACATTGTATCTATAACATTACAGTGTGATGCATGAGTTAACAAATTAAAGGTAAAGTTTTATCTGTTAATTTATGTTAATGTTATATTTTAGATGATATTTTACTATACTATATATTATTGATTTCACAAGACATATATTATAATTGTAGTTTAATTTTTTTAATAGGAAAATGTTTTCGACAACGTGTGTCTTATCTAGTACACCGTAGAATTCATACAGGCGTTATGCCTTACACTTGCACCATGTGCGGAAAAAGTTTCAGATACAAAGTAAATAATATATAAAATATATAACTGATAATATTAGATTACTGTAAATAATATTCGATTAAAATTACTTAGGTGAGTCAACGAACGCATAAATGTCCGATACAACCATCCAATTCTCAATCTCAATCGAACGAAATAGTTCCAACCCTGACCCAAGAAATTTGCAACGAATCTAATCAATTGCAAGAAACTAATTCTCCACAACAAATAAAACAAATACTGAATGGTATTAACGATAAGGATAACAAATTCGTTCTTATAATAAATGCTCAAGGCCAAACTGTTTTAACGAGAGAGTCGGATCTACAAAGCGAACAAGAAGCTAATTTTATAAAATTAAAAGAGGCGAATAAAAATTCAAGCGAAGATGCATGGAATTCGGAGAATTCCAAAAATCTTGATTCGGAAAGTTCTACCAATAATACGGATAAATTATTGTCAAATAACAGGAACAACGTACAAGAGCCTACAGATTTTTTTTCCTTGGTAATGTCACCATTAGAAAACGATTTATCGTCGCCTACATCTGGAATGGAACATTTGCGACTCTCTTCTCCGATATCAAAAGATGTGTCGCAGTCTTTATTCAGTAACTTTAGACATCTTTCAGACACTATAAACGAAAATATAATTCAAGCGGTTGTAGAAGAAACATATACGACTGATAATAATATCAGGTGTTCCTTTGAAACAATAAATGAAGAGTCATTGAAACAATTACTTTATAGTATAGGTAAGAAATAAAATATGATAGAAATGTCTTAGAATTGATAATGTAAATTACACTTTTTAATTGTAGTTCATTAATAAACCAAAATGTTATTAAATTAATTAAAACGGTAAAACAGGGTACCGACATTCAAAAATTTTCACCGCAGAAAAAAAAGAACATTTGCAGTAAATAGCCAACTAATTAATCATTTAAAATCAATAATTTCTTGTTTTATATTTGTAGTTTTTTAATTTTGAAATCTCGGTCGGTAAGACAGATTATAATTGCTCGGTCGGTAAGACAGATTCTAAAACTCTATCGGTAATACAGATTTAATTGCACTGTTGGTAAAACAGACGTAGAACTCTCGGCTGATAAAACAGATTTAGATATCTCGGTCGGTAAAACAGCATAAATTGCTCTGTCAGTAAAACAGATTCTAAAACTTGGTCGATAAAACAGTTTAAATTGCTCTGTTAGTAAAACAGATGAAAACGTTGTCGGTAAAACAGAGTTTACCGATATCGGCTTAGCTATGTTACTAGAATTTCAATATATTTGAACTTTCTTATTTCCTAGTAACTCTTAGTTACATGTAGTTTACACAAAACGAATGTTTAACTAAGTTCTATATACATTTAAAAGCAAACAACAATTAAAAATCTAATATTGATATTTTGTTTTAATTATTAATTAAAGGAGTTTAATCGTTTAGAACTTAAACGAAAGACTTACTAGATAAAAAGGAACTGATATAATATTGAAGCTAGAAAGACCGGGAAAAAATGGACATACAAAAAGTCAGTATCTGCGATTGAAAACAAAAAACAATAAAAATCTTAAGTTATGGTAAACTTTATGATATGATGCTTAGCTGGCCTGCCACTAGAATGGTTTTTTTGAATATTTTTTTCAGATGCATGCACTAATATAGTGGCTCACTCGAATAATCATCTTTATATTCATTCATATTTAAATAAAATGTTAAAGTTTAAGTTTGTAGAATATATTTTGGAGAAAAATTATAATTTTATCATTAAGGAATCTTTACGTAAAACATACGAACTTTCTTTATATATGGCTAAAAGGTCCTTGAATATTTAACAAATGCACAAGTGAAAGGTGTTTTAATGTAACTTGATCGGCATTAAAAAAGAAGAAAAAAAAATCAAGTACAGGTATTCATTCTAGTTTTAAAAGCTTTCCGTTGTGTTTAAAGAAGAAAATAATTAATCGGTAATTTATATCCCATTCTTCCAATTTATAATATTTGCCTATTTTAATAAACATTTATTTATTTATTTGCATTTTATTTTAGCAATGAAATTGTACTCTGTATCTGATGGTCCCCCATCTCTTGCATGTCGTCAAGCACTCAAGGCTTTAAATATTAAATATGAATTGGTCGATGTAGATTTTGGTAAAGGTGAACATATGACTGAAGAATATGAGAAGGTAATTTTAAATGTTAAATAATATATTTAATAATAATAAATGTGTGCTTGTGTGGATTCAATAATTTATCGTTTTTCTAGCTTAATCCTCAAAAAGAAATACCTGTTTTAGTTGACGATGATCTTGTAATGGGAGAAAGGTTTGTTTTATCTAAATAATATAAATTTATTAATTAGACTTGACACAAAATTCATTTAATTCAAATGATTATTTTATTTTATAGTAATGCCATTTTACAATATCTCGGCGATAAATACGATACTTTTGGTGAATTATATCCAAAGGATCCACGAGGACGTGCCATTGTAAATCATCGTCTTTGTTTTAATCTTGCTTATTATTATCGTAATATCTCAGAATATGTGGTAAGATAATATTACATATATTTAAGAATACTTATCGTTACTTCCATATTTTTTATCCTGATTTTATTTTATCTTTTTTTTTTTTTTATTTTACATAGATGGCACCAATATTTTTCGATTATGAAAGAACTCCGTTGGGTTTGAAGAAAATAAAAATGGCTTTAGATATCTTCAATAAATATTTACAAAATGAAAATACAACTTACGCTGCTGCTAGTAAGTAATATTATTTTTACTACATATGTGTATATGTATAAAGTATTATGCATTAACTATGTCATCATTATTTTATGAAACACAATATGAAGATCTAAGCATATCATAAAAATAATTATTTAAATAATATTCCGATTCTTTTCTTAACAGATTGCTTAACTATAGCAGATTTTCCATTAATCACTAGTACTATGTGTTTGGAAGCAATTTCTTTTAAATTGGACCAATGGCCTTGTGTCGAGAAATGGTACAACAATTTTAAGCAATCTTATCCAGACTTATGGACAATCGCAGAAGGAGGCATGAAGGAGATAAGTTATTTTGAAAAAAATCCACCCGATTTAACCAACATGGATCATCCCATTCATCCAATTCGAAAGAACATTAAGTAAATGAACTAAAATTTTTCTTGCACTAAAATGCACAAATGAATAAATTACATTTTCATTTCTTATTAATAAATTATATTTATTATTGAATTATATAATTTAAAATTATATATATATTATTATTATTATTATTATTATTATTATTATTATTATTATTATTATTATTATCTGTTTGTGAAAACTAAATTTAATATATATAATAATAATTGCAATATTAAACTATTATAAACATCATTATTACACAGTTTCTTAAATATGCAATTACTTATTTCTAATTATTTTCATTAATTGACATCTAAAGTGAGATAACTTAATCAGTCGAAAAACATACTCCAAAGAGTAGTATTGGATATCTATATACCTGTAATACGATAACATGTGAAAGTAATTGCGTGAGAATAAGGTATAGGTATTATGTACGTTTAATCAGGTAACTGTGTATTCGGTACGAATAAATTTTTTAATTATTGCAAAGATCTAATAGTACTCAGAATAAAAGCATTTCTTCTTATATAATTCATAATAGCATTTGGAAAAAAAAACAAATTATATGTTTTTTTTTTTCATAATAATAAATATATTTCTTTAATGAAGTGCCACTGTGTATTTATACATTTCTATACGTATGTAAGATGATGACCTTATCGATTGAATGATATACATGTCATTGAGAATATGCATTCAATGTTGCATATGCATAACTTCATTGCCTATGCACTTGCTAGTTTTTTTTAATAGAGCAGCTATTGCTTTTCCTGGTATTTCAATATTTTATTAAATTCTCCAAGTGCATAATTGTATACCGATTATAAATTTTAATAACCATACTAACAGATATTAGAAAGATTTTTATAATAATCTAAATACTACATTTTTTTGTTCGTTTTATATATATATATATATATACCTTTCATAAAAACTTTGAAACAATCAACTTTGATTTTAGTTTTTCGAGATGGTACAAATTTGAGAATAAAATTAATAATTTAATAAACGCGTTTTTCTTTTTATTATTATTATTATTATTATTATTATTATTATCTTGTTTGTTTTCTTAAAATCTCAAATCCAATATATTAAATACTACATAGAAATCTCGTATTTATTGACTAATCATTCATTATTCAGTCAATTATTTAATATTCAATCCATCGCAAGATGCTATTTAAATAGAACACTAGGATTGAGATCCATATATTAATAATATAGGATAGTCGACCCTGTAATTGCTAAATTTATTCTGATCATAATGTATCATTAAAATTTATTATAACGGACTAAATTCGAGTTATCTATAAAATATATATGATTAATAGTAAGCAATAAATTTTAAGAAACTCCCGTTCAATATTTTTCCCCTAATTTTAATTATTACGATTTGATAAAGAATAATCATAATATGTTAAAAGATGTAGTGATTGTTTTATAGTAAAGAATGGCACTTCTTCTAATAATTTATAACACGCGTTAAATATAAATAGTATATTTAAAAAAGATACTTCGCTCGTAATTGATTGTCCTCTTTTTTTATTTTTTTTGTTTACCCCACAGGTTTATAGAATCCATGATTTGTCAATATTAAATAACAGTGGCCAAACGTATTAATTAAATCGATGCTTTGTTTTAAAAGAATGACGTTAAGAGTATACAGGATGTCTTGTAATTAATAGTTAATAAACAAACAGGGGTGGTGATTTTACATGACAAATTTTTACATTTATTTTTCTCAAAAACAGAACTTCATATAAACAAATTGTATTCTACGTTTTAGAATTAGTTATTTTTATGTAGAATAACTCTCTGCTTGTGTATACATTTACAGGACATCTTGTATATGATAAGCGAATTATTTAACGATAAAGTTTGGCCATCATTGGATCTATATTGATACAACAATGTTAATAAAAATTATTCGAATAATAAAATGTAACTATTATAAAATTATATCATTATATTTTCAAAATGATCATCTTATATTAGATATTAAAAATCATAATTACAAAGGAACTAATAATATAGGAATAAATATCATTGAAGTATCTATACAGAATATACTTCCATAGATATATATTATTTTGAAAATAAAAGATATGTTTTGCATTCGGTATCCAATTAATCAACAGATATCACAGATATTTATGATCAATGGATATCGATTTTTAGTATAAGAATGCATTTATATATATTTTTTTTTTTATTTTATTAAATGAAACTATCTTCAATGTTATTTTTTCATAATCAATGGAACAACTTTTTATATAATTCTCTGAAAAAAATATTAATGTTATATATACTATTATATTTATATATTGTACAGTTTCTATTTTTTGTTTTTTTTTTTTTGTTTTTTTTTTCAGAAAGAAGGCATTTTAGGAGATCATAAGATTTACACACGTTTCGATACTAAATATCATATACACGATCAGGAAATGGTATGAAGAAGTGCAAGAAGAAACAAATTGTGAATAATCGTTGCAAAAGTATACGAGATACATATAACAAATATATGCTTTTACTTTTTCAATGTTAAGAAGAGAGAGATTAAATAGAATAATATTAATGAAATAATAGGATCACAAGAAAGATAGAAGAAGAAGAAGAAGAAGAACGAACGAATGTATTGCTCGATTAATGAAATATTTGTGTATAAGAAAGGATAGTGCGTCTAATAAAAGCCTTGTGCTTTTTCCTCCAATAGAAAGAAGAACTTAGAAGGATAAGTTAATTTTCAATTATTTGGAACTTATATCTCACAATATATATATATATATATGTATATATATATTTGTGTGTTAACAATCTTATCGTTAAATCAAATTATTCTGTCTTCCTTTCCTTTTTATTTTTTTTGTCCCCCCATTTTTTTCCTAATCATAACATTATTATGTTCACAATACCTTAGACAGGACTTTTTTGATGATTGGAACTTGAAACTTGGTTAATGCTTTTACAAATGATGCACTTACAATTAGTCACCGAACCCTTCCTGATGGCGAACGTAGATGAGACTTAATATATCCTGTTCGATAATCTATCACATCACGAGATGCACCACCTGGCATATGCCTATGTCTCCTACTCCATCTGTGAACAGAATTAATTTTGATTAACCGTTATTGATGTATTTATTCTTACAGACAACAAATTGAACATGCAAATATCACACTGCAATCATTTGTTTTTTTTCTTTTTTCTTTACTATTTCACGAGCTCGATTTTCACATCAACATGGTGTAGTAGAACCACAATAAAGAAACATTCTGCAATGATATTGTGTTATCAAGATTTAAAAAGATCATTTAACGTCGACAGTATGAATACAGAATATTTCTATTTTTGTAGGTTTTATAATAACGAAGAATGATGATACTGTTCCAATGAATATAGTTTCTCTGCAATTTTATAATTAATGAAAGTATATAAAAATAGAAATCTTATTGGAATTCTACTTGGGGATGTAATGTAAATATCATCGTTCATCGATATACATCAAGATTAAATTGAATATCATCACACCTCACGATGCTTCATTCCATATCTATAAATGTGTAAGTAAAGTATGCATATAACATTCAAAATAAAGTTACAAAACAAAAACGGGGGTAATATATTAAACATACCACACTCTAATCACACTACAGGTAGGAGATGCCGAATATGAAGAAAAAAACTAATTCATCAAAAATACATTTATATATGTGTTTTACACGTTGGTTGTGTAGTACACACAAAAATTGTTTTTTTTTTACTTTCGTTAATACAATCAATCAATCTTATCATAATTAATTTTCAATAAGGCAATTATACAACATTTTCATAATAAACAATTCTCAGATAGCATTATTGGGATTAAGAGGAATTAAAGCATTTTCTCTAGCTGCTTAATATTAATATTATATTTTTTATTTAAAATCCGAAAAACAAAATACTTACTAACGTTGAAAGTATCTTAATTTTTATCTATTGTATATTTTGAATTATTATTCAAATATTAATAAAAAAAATGTGGAGGTAGATACAAAAAAATAATTGAAATTTTCTTTGATCGTTTTTAAAAAAAAAAATGTATACATAATAAATTCGATAACGCTTTAAATGGTCCACTGTGTCCAAGGATTGCATATGTTGTAGTATTAAATTTACACTTGAAAATGATACCGTATATGTAATCCTTGTAGAATGCAGGAAAATTTAAAACATTACGCTAGAATCTTATGCAAATGCATCCTGTAAATCTTTCAATAACAAATTACTTCCTATATTATTAAATAATCAAATCTTCTCGTAGGAGGGAAACTGGAGATTATTAAATTACAAATACAGTCAGCCTCGGATAAAGAATTGTCGACGTGTGTCAAATACGAGAACATTGATCTATTATTCACACATATATATAAGATTCCAACTCGAAGATCATTAAATAAAGAGAGAAATCAATTTGAAAGGAACATAATTATTAAGTTAAATACAAATAAAGTAAGTTAATTATTTAGAGATACATTTTTAAATAGTATATATAAATTATCGTATAATTAATTATTATATATATATATATATTTAATTTCATAGAAAAATAATTCTGATCAGAAGTTTCTCATAGAAGAAGAAAACTTTGAACGATGAACGCATGAGTTTGATCCGAGTCTAACTGTGTTTGTTCTCTCATACCTTTCTGCGTCCTAGAAGACGTCGATGATCAATCAACGATGGTTGTTGGTGACGATGGCAGTTGAGGTCGAGGTCGAGGTCGAGGTTGAAATCGTGGTTGGGATAGGGAAGCACCGGTGCGATTGGGATTCGGAAGATGGGGTCGAGCTGTTCTGTTGAGACGATGTGTTAACATGTCGATTGTTAAAATTCGAGCTGGTGGCAGTGTTTTGGTTGTTGTTGTTGTTGTTATTGCTGTTGTTGTTGTTGTTATTGTTGTTGTTATTAGCAGTTATTGGGAGAAGAGTTTGTCCATCCCCATGCAAGCTCGCAACCCCATAGCTCCTCAACCTATACTGCCATTGTTGACTCATTCTGCTCCTAACTGTTGTTCTTCGTGGCTGGCACTGCGTCGTACTGCGTATCAAGGGCCACCATAGATCAATGATCAATGATATCTCATTTCTCTCGAGTTTGGATCTCCTTTTCGAACAAGGGGGAGGGGGAGGAGGAGGAGGGAGACTCTAATAAATCTAGACTTTTCTCCTTTTCGTTAGGAATTTAATTTCCGTGATATAATTGTTTTCTTTTTTATATATTTCATTCGTTTGTTCCTTTCGTTCGTTCCACCGTTTTATATCATTTGGTATTACAAAGAAAAATATATATATAGAAGAAAAAAAAAAATAGAGAAAGAGATAGAGAAAGAGACGATAGAATAATTCGCAGGCACTCTCAATGTCGTAACAGGAATCTCATTGGGATTTAATATAACATAAATTGTTTAGATAATAACGCAGGGAAAAAGGTAAACGAATCTGAACTATTGAATCGTTGTATTTAAAAGAATATAAGAAGAAAAATAAAATACAAAATGTAAAAAATATAATGGCAGAATGCAATTTTAATAGAAGATATGAAAATATGAGAAAGGAGAAATCAGAACGCGGAGAAGATAAATAATTTAATTTCTTAATAAATTTCTTTTCTTTTTTTTTCCTCTCAACATTTTAAAATGGATAAACATTATTATTATTATTATAATATAATTCAATATTAAAATAACATATATATATATATATTACATTGAGATTAATCATAAGCATGTGAGTTTTACGTTAAAGCTTTTATTTAGTGATTGCTCGGTAGCTTTGAAATCCAGATTTGTGTTTAAAAGAACGGTGAGTAGCAAAAAGTGAATGAAAGAGAAATAAAGAAGGAAAGAAATAAAAGAGAGAGAAAAAGGAAAAAGAGAAGAAATGACACTAATCAATTTTGTATTTTGGAGGAAAAGCTCATGCATTCACACACCACGCTCAAGCAACATGTTTTACGTATACAAAAATTCAATTGAATTTTATATCAGAGGGATAAATCATGCCGCCATTTATATTGTCCTTACGCTCATTTACTATACAGAAAATTCGTTACTTTATAAAAAGAAAAAAACTTTCTATATAAATATATAAAAAATATAAATATAAATTGTTATGATCGATAACAGATTTTCTTACATATTTTTTTTTTGTAAAGATAAAAGTTATTTCTTGATTACTTGTAAGGGTCTTAGAAAACAGCTTTGGTAAAGGTTTTAACGATAAATAAATTAAATATTTTCTAGATTATTAAAAGATTAAAATATGAATTTTCTGTATTGTCAGTTAGCCGGACGTTTATTAGGCGATATGTATTTTCTTACCTTGAATTGTGACTCATGAGGATAATGTTTCTGTAACAGCATATAATGGATCCTGATAGTTGGGAAGCGAGCGATGAAGTGTTGATGTCGATTCACACATAACACATTTAAGCGGTACAAGCAATTCGGCTTGTGTTAGATTTCCAATTAATAATTAATTAAAATAATAATTAAAGTAAGACAAATGATATCTCCTCTGTAAAATACCTCTCTAATTAAAATTCCCATGTGTAATAAAACCTATCGATATTTCTAATATATCAATAAACGTCAGATACATATAAATTTTGAGTTATCGTTAGATAATTCAAAAATCTTATTAAATGGGGGATAAATAATTCGATTTTTTTTTTCAAGAGAAAATAAAAATAATTCTTTTCGTTATTGTTATGCAAGATTAAAAAAGAGGTCAACTAGCTAGCTAGGATAATGAGAATTACTCGTCAAGTCGTATACTGTTTGGGGTTTGTTTTTCTTTTTAATATCTTTTATAATATTCTAAATTCTTGCAATTGTGTGTGTGTTTTTTTTTTCTTTCTTTTTTTTCCTTAATCGATAATAATTCGACAATGCATTATTGTCGACACAATATATATGTATATATTTGTCTATTATTAATGTTAACTCTTGAAATATTCGTAGGACTTATTTGAATATAATATAACGAGTATATAACGAGTATATAACGTGATTTTATATATATATATATATATATATATATATATATATATATATAAAACATAATATAAGATTTTATTGCTATAACGCGACAACTAGTATACCCCAATAAAAAATGAAAATGAAAAAGAAAAAAAATATATATATATTTATAAAGGAAATCGAATATTACTTTAATTTACGAGATGTCATCGAAGTCACATCTAAAGTAATTATAAAAAATATATATTGTTATTATTGTTTCATCGTACTTATCGATGATCATCAATAAATTACTTAAAATATATTTCTCTATAATATTATTTCTTTCTATTCTTTTTCTCTTTTCTCTTTTATAAACTACACTTTACATTTGTTGCATATTCCAGGCACCCTGTAAAACAATACCAATGCTTGGTTTTTTTTTTTAAAACATCTTAAAAATATCGCACGGATGCACAAATTGGCTCTCTACATGCGAAAGAAAATCTCTACAATTAATGCTGACTTTCAGAAAGAGTTTGGATAGAACTTTTTTTCCCTATGTATGTATTCTAAAGAAACAAATTATATATCTAAGTTCTTATTTTCTTTCTTATTCTTCTTGTTGGAAGCTGGTTCATCATCGAGATATCTTTTAGTCAAATATTTTTAAAAAAGACCTCAACGATTGTTCACGAAAAGTGTCTTCTGATTACCATAAGAAACGTTTTGAAATATTTCACGATGGTTAGATCAACTTTAAACATAAAAAGGAGATATAAAAGCTTTTTCTAAACATTTCCACATTAAATTTTTCTAATTAAGGAAGGACGCGCGATAAAGGAAGAAAAAAGAATAAGAATAAGAAGAAGAAGAAGAAGAAGAAGAAGAAGAAGATGGAGAATATTCCTATAAGGCAATCATTATAAAATACAAAGCGTATCCTACTTATTAAGTGAGACTACATTCTTGCCCTCTATCTAGGTGCGAAAGAAGATTAAACAAAAATAATTATTTTCATATTCTTGCAAGAATATAAATGTGTGTATATTGTGCCCATACGTGCACACTTTTTATGCATCTTATCTATATATCTATCATTTGATATAAAATACTCATATTGTATATACATATAAAAATATATAAATAAGATATAGATAGATAGATAGATAGATAGACAGGTAGATAGATAGATAGAGAAGAATATCACTAAAAGATCAAACTAAATGCTAATAATAATAAATATAATAAGAACTTAAAATAAAATTTGTAATACTTTGGATTGTAAAGTGCATACCACATAATTGCTTTATAATAAAAAATATCATAGTGTGCATACCGAAGGAGTCTTGTTATGTAATCGGGCCAGTTGTCTGGGAACATCACGAGAAAGAAGCCGACAGCAATGAAGATCATTCCGGCCAGCTTCATGCCCATGAAGTGCGCTCCATACAGAACGACATCCAGAGCTATGCAATCATTTCAACGGGGCGATTACTAACATTGCAGTCGTCGTGTTTTCCTTATTTTTTGAAGTTATACTTCTTTTGGCGCGTTTTGGAAAGTGAAGTTAAATGCGACCGAAAAATCGACACCACGAAGTTGTCGATATTTACGATGCGCGGGCAAATTGAAGTTATTTTTGATGTTATAAAAGTTATATTCGTTTTGGTACGCTAAAAAAGTATAACTTCTTACGTGCATAAGTAAATACACACATCAGTTTTTTTTTCTTTTTTTTCTTCTTCTTTAATAAAACTTTCGAATTTGTATGACTGTTCCTCTGGAACTTCATTGATGATATCTAAATGAATTAGGAATGATCTCAATGAAGTTTCTGAGAAACAGTATATTCCTTCGAAAGATCTTTTACGTGATAAGTGAGGTCATGCATATATATTGTATAAATACATATATAGATATTAAATGGTATGCAGCATTCTCATTAATTAATTGTATTTCTGTAAATTTAAATTTCATTAGAAAATGATTAATATATATAAATATATGTATATATACATAAATAACTAATTACTTTTCTTCCTTTAGAATGAACTCATTAAAATAATGATCAAATTGTGCGCTATGCCCAATAAAAGAAAAAAAACGTAAATGCGATGCAAAGACTGTGGTGTATTGTTATCGATGTACATACCTGCTGAAACAGGAACAGCAGTTATCAGACCAAGTGTAATGAATAGATCATAAGTAAGTGCGATGCTGAAGTTTCCTAACATATTTGCAACTGTAACATAATGAGTGCTTACTTAATTAATAATTCTAAAAGGTTTACTAATTCCTTTAAATTGTGTTATCGTTCACCAGCATCACATTAGAATAGAGTGAGAGAAAGAAAGAGAGAGGGAATAGGCTATAGAATATTAATTGAAAGAAGTCAATACATGATCAGACCTAGATGAAGTATGCTGGCTGACAAAAGAGCTGCCCATGGTAATCGAGTCCAATTTACGCTTTCAGCACCCGAGAAATAAAGGGCCAAACAGATTGGCCATAAAAGGGCAGCGTTGCAAAGACCAATCAGAGAAAAGAATAATGACATTTGGCCAAAAGTCGTTTCTCCTATAACTTTCTTAAATACCACCTGGAAATAAAAAAGAAAAAAAAAAGAAAAAAAGGTATTTGTTCTTGGAATTATATTTTCCTCTATCTTTTCAATGAAATGTTCGAAAGTTTTTTACAGAGTCGTTACTTTGTAAACAGCAGATCCAGCTGCTGCTGTTGTTGCTAGTACTACGCCACCCAATGTGGGACTTCCTGTTATACCATCCATGTAAGCTAAAAGAGCTATACCAGTATTGCACAGGATCACTGCTACTATCTATAATAAATTTGATGAATATTTATATATAAAATCATATAATATATGCAGGATGTAAAATTCAAATAGAAACACTTAAATATTTCCATTATCTATAATCTTACCCTAACTCCAACAAATTGTTCGTGAAGGATCACCCAAGATAAAAGATAAACGCAGGAAACATTGGTAGCAAACAAAGCCATAACGTCAGTAGCCAAAAGTATCCTTAATGAGTAGATGTACATGTAATTAGTAACAACCCAAAGTCCACAAAAGAGACTACATTTAACGAGGAAACGTCCACCAGTGAAACCCTTGTCTCGAAATCCACGAAGACTTTCTGCTAATATTTCTGATGGCGTCGTACATTTAGTTCTAACTGCTCGGCAAATGAAATAAACTGGAAAGTATAATACTTCCCAGTTCGTGCAGAACCATGTTGTGAAGAAGGGTGCATTGTATGGAAGCACAGTCTACAATGAAATATTAATGTTAATTATAATGATAAAGTTATAACATCTAAATTAAGAATATTGTGTTCTTTTTTTTGTATTTTATCTAAATGATGGTATTATTTTTTTCTTTTTAAAGCAACTAATAGAAAATAAGATTTGAATTGTATAAATGAAAGAACGTAATCGTGTGCATCCAATTAAATAAGACGAATATAAGATAAGAAAATGAGAAGTGGGTAAAGGCCTCTTGGCAGTGAGAAAAGAGTGTCTTAAAGAATTGAAGCACCGTGTCTAATTACATGCTGATGACGGGGCTCGGTAACGGAGACATTTGATGCGGATGTATAACTAGGGCTCGTTTGTTTATGAAAGTATAAATATTTTATGCAATGAGTTGCTCCAACCCAGCTAGCTGTCACACATATTGTAACACACACGCCAAAATATATCTGAAATAATCGAAGAAGAAAAAAATAAGTATAAATATTTTCTATGTGCCTTTTTTTTCTAGTATATAATATAACATATGGACAATAAATAATAATAATTAATTAATTCAAAATAAATGAAATAAATTATATACTTTTTTTGCAGATTCTGCACAACAGGATGCATAACAAGCGGAGAGTTTGTTCGGTCTGGATTGTTGATAAGCTACAGAAGGTGTAGTCACATTACACGTAGGTTGAGTTTGACTTAAAGAAGAACCATGTCCCTGACCTCCTCCTCCACCACCACCAGGTCCTCCTGTACTTCCGGTAGCGATACCAGTACCAGTTCCAGAACCTACACCGCTACCACTTGTTTCTAAAGATCTACAACTTGATGCTGAATCACCGCATCCACCAGCGACGCTGCAACCTTGCTGTTGCTCGCACTCTGAAATAATAAACATCTAAATTAGTATATTTTACGTATAATCAAATTAAACAAAAAAGAAACAAAAAATGATGAGTATGAGCAAAGCAACAATGTGAAGAAATAACAAATGAATGATGTGTGTATGTATATTAATGTGTAATATTAATGAATAGCAATAAGCGGTGCTATTATACAAATAATTAACAAATATATTTATTGTTTTTAGTTCAGCGATTGTGTTCCATTAAGAAAAAGTGTGTGCCCGGCAAGTTATTACCCAGCCATTTAATTGCTTTCAATGCAAAGAACGAAGCTCTTTCATTGATATTGCTATAAATGAACTAAATCAAAGCGAACATGAACTCCTCGTATATTTGTACTATCGTTCATGAGTCATATCGGACAGCTAGTTATATACATTTCATATTTGATTTAATAAATAGTATGTAGAATAATGAAAATTTAAATATTTATGATTAAAGTGCCCGATGATTTATGAACGTCAGATATATATATACGGTATACACTTTTTATTCTATTCTAGAACTCTCTAAACCATAAAAACTACCACAAAACGCGTACCCTGAAGATAAGACATCACCCCGGTTGTAAAAATTCCTCTTGGCTTCTTATGCTCTTAACGTAACACTGGTATAATGTAGAGGAAATCATTTTTGATGAAACCAAGTTTTTCTATGTGTTCTCTCTTTTGTTTTATTCTATACGTATTACGAGGTGTCTCATTTAATGTTTCATTACAATAAAAACAATATCTTTAATAAATATTAAGTGAATAAAGTTTCATTAAAATCTTATAATTGAAGCATTTGGGTTATTATATTGTTAGGAATAAATTAGTTCAATCTGGACTGAGAACATTGATTTAAATGATATTGAACTTAAAGGAGACAACCCGTTTATATTTAAATATGGTTCGTATATTCGTAGTAGTAACTTTTGGCTCCTATAAATGTGTCTTACCTGTCGAATCCAGCACAACTTGAATAGGACTGGCAATTGGACCATGGTTCTGTTGATCCTCGCTAAGGACTATACTTGGTGCACGAGATCGTCGGGGATGAAATATCGTTGCTACTTCCCCAACATTTCCGCTACCCATGTTTAAATTTGCTCTTTGAAACATTTTTCAATGTTATCGATCAGCATATCCACAAATTATCAGGAAACGATTGATTTAATTTAAATGAAATCGCACGGAACAGGCAATGGAAGATGATTCGCCAGAAGAAGATAATCAGGAGGATGATGAAGAAGAAGTAGAAGAAGAAGAAGAAGAAGGCACGTGAAAGAAGATCTGTCTTAGCAGTAGTAGCAGTAGATACCAGTAGTTGTAGTAGTTGTAGCGATTAAATCGCTCCATGATTTCACTCTGGATTCTAAAAAAATCAGTCATCCTTGTAAAAGGATACTTTTCAAGGTATACGACCACACGTGTCTGCTTTTAAGTTCACTCAAATGAGTTTATTTTGATGGTCGAGTATATAACTGCATTCCTTTAGTTTTTTTTTTCTTTTTTAGTTGAACACGTTACGACGATCTTGTTAATAATGTTAAATATTATGGAATATTTAATTGTGGAGATTTTCAATAAGTCAAGATAATTATTTTGGATGTACAATTTCATTCGACACTTACCATCTTCCAAAACAACAATAATAATAACAATAACAACAACAACAACGATAATAATAATGAAAGAAACCATATATAAAGGTAAAATATAAGATAATTTGTGTGCGAAATTAAGCTCGAAGCAAAGCACTCAATTAATTTTCTTCATTTACTTTTTCTTTCTTTTTTACTTATTATTATTTTATCATTTATTATTTCTTTTTAGTTTTTTTTAAATGTGACCGCAAAAGCTAATAAGCATGAGCGTGCACGAAACAATTTCGCGTAACATAATGGATCGCTTGCTTTGAATTTGAACAATGACATTGCTTTTTTTCTTTTCTTTTTCCTTTTATACACGATACCTTTCGTTTTAATTGTAAGATTTAGAATAAAATATTTACTAGAAAAAAATAAAAATATAAAGAAATATTTAATTGTGAAAAATTGACTCTCGCACAAATACGTTAAACTAGCTCGTAATAATTTATGTTCATTATGGAATCGCGTGACTAGAGAAGAGTAATGATTAAAAAAAATATCCCTTGTCACATTATTCTCTTTTCTTTTCTTTTTCTTTTTTTTTCTTTTTTAATTAGAATACGATTGCCTCCCTTTCGATATTTTTTTCTTCTTTTAATATTTAACAAACAAATTAAATAAATCTAAAGCAACTAGAATCATACAATCTTTTTACACACGTTTTTATTCCACCTGCAAATGTTTCATAATTTGTATAATTCGATCTAAATTCTATTCATTTTATTTAGAGATAAATCATACAGCATGTACATATATACATACGTAGAAAAAAATATTTAACGATTAATATTTTCGAATTTGGTTTGCAGGTCACAATAAAACGTGTATACAATTGAAAATAAAAGGAACAGGTTTATACAACCGTAGACATTTTATAAAGTTACCCCTTTCACATCGAACAGCGTTATTTCAAGCAATGGCTTCTTAAATTTATTAATAATTAATAAGAACGAATATTGACATGCAGTTAAAGAAAAAAAATATTAATATACCTTCTTTACGGTTCTCCTCGAAGTTTACGCTGCGTTCGAAATTTGAACCTTCCATTGTACATGGTCTCTCTCCACAACCTTTTATTTTATTGTCAACCACGCAGAATGAGAAACAATAACGTCGAGAAACGTTACTACACAATGCTACGTACAATATATATATACATAAAGGAAAAAGAGAACTACAAGAAAAAATTAGAATAATAAGAACTGGTAGAAAAGAAAGAAAGAAAGAAAGAAAGGAAGGAAGGAAGAGAAAAAAGAAAGGAACAAAAATTCAGGACAAAATCGGTCAACAATTATTGATGACAATTAACGGCGCTTTTTTTCTTAACTTCTATTCTTGAATTGTACGTTTTATGGCTGCCCTATTAACGAAAATCTAATAACAATATATTGTTTATCTAACACGTTTTGAAAATCTCATTTAAAAAAGAAAAACAAATAGAAATGTGTTGACGAGCGTTAATAGGAAACAAAGGAATACAAATAAATTGGGTAAAATATTCGGATGGATTAGGAGTTGTGTGGTGTACGTTTGTTGGAAAATGTGTTAAACGTTTTTCACTACTCTGAGTTCCTCCTCTTCCTTTTGAGAAGCTTTAGAAGAAGCTCGTTAAATGACCGAACGAGAACGAAGTGTACCGTTCTACGCGTGCGAGGAACGCGTACTATCTCGATTCTATAGAAATGCTTCTATCTAAGCACCCTGGCGTGTCATTGATTACCAGGCTTGCTATCGTTCTCCGTTCGTTCACCACCACCACCACCACAAACCCCAATACTTTAACTGCGCCTGCGTTTGTTTCCCGTCATTGCAAATCTCTTCCAGTAAGCTTTCCTGATGGAAAAACAGGCCTCGTATTCTTATTATATTATTTTTTGTTTCTTATTTAAATAATAAATTATATTCGTATGCATACACTATTTATTATTTATATCTTAAACAAATTTGTCTAGATGATTTATATATATTATTTTTTTTTGTTACCTGATTTGTAGCTAAATAATGTAATTGCATAAGTTGATAATTTTTATTTGATTTTCAAATTATGAGAATGTTCGAATTTAAATTTTTTGTTTTGTTTAATATTATATATGTTATAAATATAATGTATGGTACGTTCGTTCATGCTATAATCACCACTACTACATGCCTCAATATCTTTACTGCGTCTGCGTTTATGTTTCCCTTTATAAGAAATTTCTTCTAGTAAGCCTTCACAAAAAATACGAGCCTTGTGCTTTAATTATTAATTGTTTTTTTGTTATTTTGATAATTAATTTGACTACATAATTATATTTTTACGTATACTATAATAAACAATACAATAAACAAATTATTTTTGTCATAGATTTTAATTCAATTGTCGCGTATATTTGATATTAAATATATATATATTGCAATTAATATTAATTTATTAAACGTGAATATATAGTTTACTGTTATATCTCAACTAATCAACATGTAATTAAAAATATAAATAATTAATTAATAAAATGTAAATGTAATATTATTGTTATATTTCAACAACTTATCAATATATAATATATACATACAGGTTTTATATATTATATAAAAAAAGGAAAACACTTGATTCATAGGTCAAAAATATTTTATTCCGTATTTTTCTGAAATGAGAGATCCGTATTAATCCGAAGCAACACGCGAGACAAGCATTACTGAATTAATTTTCAGTTCTTAATTGTAGATGCATATGTATATTGCATACATATATGCTTGTTAATTCTAAACCAAAAATTCTGTTATATCTTTTTTCTTTTTCTTTCTCCTTCCATCGAAAATCTATAAACGCACACATATTTATATTCATTTATATATATAAGTATTATACATATATATTTTTATATCATAGATATTATATAGGGTGACGCAACAAGAACAGCATTTTTATCTATTATGGAAAATTTCGCTCGAAGAATCGTCATTTGTAAATGATGGTTAATATCATTTTTCATGTATAATTCCCATGGGCACTAATTAGATATATATAGATTATTGAAAAAAAAAAAAAAATTCTTTTGAAATTTATATTATTTAAAATTGCAGTTTTGGTTGCATCACTTTATATAAATATAAAAATATATGTATGTATATGTATATATATATATATATGTATATATTATTTGTATAATATTTAAAATAGTACAATCACACGTATACACAATCTAATAATAAATTACGTAGCAAATAACGGATGGTACGACCGTGTGTTTTAATTTCTTATTTTGTTTTCTTTCTTTCTTTTTTTTTTTTTTTTTTTTTTAAATAATGCTAAAACACAAACAAAGTTTATCGAGTCCTTCGTGTGTAAAAAATAAAAGATTATTTTTCATTAAATTTGTTCTGAAATTTTGAATTCCTATCGCCATCCGCTTTTACCGCAATGACAACAAATTTAGACATGTAAATGAAATAATGTAACGATAGAATGTTCAGAAATACGGAATACAAAAATGCTATATTTATTATGGAATAACACAGAGGTTTCATTTAAAACTATTTAATTATGTACATTGATTCTAAAAAAGTTATTTCAAAATGAAAAAAAGAAACTTTCCTGTTAAAATTATTAAAAATCATAGTAAATATAAAATAATATATTTACTTTTTTCTTATGGCCATTGATTAAAAAATAATATGTTATATTTCTCGTACACACCTATATACATATAAAACAAATTAAATACAGAATATTATTAAAACTGTGTTATTCGATAATGAATTATGTTTTAGGTAAAATTATTAATGTCGCTTTATCACATTATTAGATAATTTGTTCTCAACAGAAATTTATAATTCTGTTAGGACAATTTATAAATATATACATACGTATATATATATGTATATATATATTTACAAGATATTTATTTATTATTGCAACTCCCAGAGTTGATCATTTTATTATACACACACGCGCTAGATATATCATATAAATAAAATTTATTATGCGTTTAATTTCTCGACTGGAGTAATGCGATGTCGCACAGGGATTATTACTTTGGTAGAAAATATGTGAAAAAATATATTTTCCTAATATTTTTCTTCCTTTTCTTTTCTTTTTAATTTTTTTTTTTTCCCCTTCCGACAAATTAATTACAAATCAAGGCACGTATGTAGCAACGGTGAATAATAATATTAGTTGTTATCATTTAATATAAGTTTCCGCTGTTTAAAAAACTTTGATACTAAAGTTTCTTCTTTTAACTTAGCTATGACAACTTTGATATTAAAGTTTTTGCGAATGAAACCTCGAATAAATGTAATTCTCTTTTATTGAATTAAATTAACACTTACACCTTCATAGATGCTATGAGGTACGCAACTTGCATATTTAAATCATATTTTTTTCTTGATTACCACTACAATTATATTATATTATATATACACGTTTTAATATATATATATATATATCAGTTTGTAAATTTCCACGCATTGTTAGCGTGTACGCATTCTTCCTGGCTATATATTTTATTTTATTTTATATTTAATATTATTTATTGAATAATTATTAAACTAAGAAAATGCCAGTAAATATAATAATATTAATTACCCATGGTAAAATATATAAGTAATCAAATATTGCTACGTTAAATACTTTTTAAAAATTACTAACATTCCTAAAGAGTGTCATAAAAATATGTAAAAAAGTATAGTACTACTATACTATATAGCTAAAATATGAATATGAATATGAATTAATAATAATAATTATATTTTGCAGGTAGCTATTTTGATATATATATAGCATAATATTCATCAGTCGAATTTGAGAGAATATATCCACAGTATTAATTAGTTAAAATGACGTACACAGTATTAATAATTTAATATCATCCAAACCATGATTTATCTTTCATCTAAATAATAAGTTTATACGATGTCCTTAGGGATGTTCGATGGATATACGTTAATACGATTTACAAAATATTCTACATATTTTTCATTTTTTTTCTTTTTTTCTTATACGATAAACCAATTTTTAACTAATCAGTTTAATTTTCATATATGCGTGTATATATATATATATATACAGACGATATTATTTATACAATATTTTGCTACATCTTGATATATGTTTTAGGTGTATAAAGGGTGATTTTGGGATAATTAATGATCCTTGTTTATTAAATGAATGATCGATTTAAATTATTTACACGTAACTTCTCAACAGAAATAGGCATGATTTAATATTCATTATTTTTGTTATTAAATCAAAAATCTAATAGCAAGGGCTTAACAATAAATAACTAAATAAGAATTTAAACATTAAATGTGCAAATTATATATATTGTCTTTCGTTAAATTAATAACACGACACACGGATTATCCTTAACTGTGTATTCGTATATGTGTGTGTTTGATTTTTATAAGTATATTTGCAACTTGCTATATAGTTTTAACACGCCTAATATGCTTACATCTTCCTACGTTGACAAAAAATGAGGGAAGATGGACATCGTCTCTCTTTCTCTCTTATTTTCTTCGCATAAATACGCAAGCAATCAGGTGCAAACGCGGATTAACTTTATTCCTAAACAAAAAAGAGATCACGTTTTATTTTCCTAACCGGAATATTGTACCTTTTCAAAAACTTACTATATAATAAATATATATAGAATTGATATCAAGCACTTCTTTCTCTTTCTCTCTCACACACACACACACACACACACACACTCTCTCTCTCTCTCTCTTTCTCATGCTTTCTTTATATGTGTATGTGTGCTACTACCTTCTAACATATTTATAATCATCGAAAACTATTTAATCCAGACATACGATTTGCATTGGTGCAACAACTAATCAAACACAAGTCGTATCTTCAACTAATATTTAAAAGAGAATATACAAGATGTCAGAGGTTTTTTCAGTCAAACATTGTTACCATATATTATGCATGAAAATAAGAAAGTAATGTTGTATAAACATATATATATATATATATTATTTTTAAAGTTTTATTTTAAAAATTTATAACCCAAATTATTAATCATTTAATTTCTTCTTTATAGTGTCTACTGTTTTAACAAATGCAAGTATGACACACTGCTGTAGAATGGAATGAACTGTTTCATATAATTGTGAGTGCACATTCAAAAAAATTGAGCAATGCTTGACTCTTCTGCCAAGAAATCTAATTGATATTCTCTTACAGCAGTTAAAATATTTCTTTCGCACAAACCATACACATTATGAATGCTCACATATTCTTGGTTTAAAAATACTTTCTACATTTCGATCAGTAGAATTCCATCGAAGAAACTGATATCGATTGGAATTTGTTACATCATCTCGAAATACTAAATACAATTGATTAAAAATTAAAATACAATCTTTGCTAAGTTAATATGACAATTTGTAATTTAAATTATAACTTTTGAATTAAGCTCTAAATGACTTATGCTTATATAACATATTTTTCTTATTTTCATATATACAATACATCAACACTGTTCGACTAGAAAAAGCTTGGACACCCTTTGCAAATTTGTATTACTAACATTTTGTCAATAATGTATGTACATTATTTGTAGAGATATATTTTTAAACGTTTCTTTTTACTATTATTGTAAAGTACCTTTTGTTATATTTAATTCGATAAATATATATCGTATGATTGTTGAATTTGTGTTGAGTTTAACATACTGATATATAGCCTGATTTTAAATGAGAATTTAAAGAAAATTCTATATTTTGAACACAAGTAATGTAATATCCTTAATAAATTTTTAATTGATGAGATAAACTTGAAATTTTTTATATAAATAATATGTGTTTATAAAGGAAGCTATTAATTTTATATACAAGCTTTTTATAATATCATTTGGTACGTGTTGCGTGTTAATGTTAAAAATATTATTATGTATAAAGATAATACATGCACATTTCTTTGCAAGATATTTGATCATATGTATGATACATACACACACGTATATATAT